TGACAACAGCAGCAACGAGCAAGCGGCGGATCAACTGACTGATTGGCGTGTCCTTGACAAGTTTGTTGCTTCTCAGCTCAGTCAAGAAGATGTTGCCAAGGAAAATAATTACTCTAATGCTTCAGCCAATAGTGTCTTCCATTCTTCAGAGCAGACGAATTTGCTCATCAGACACTTAAACAAACAAGAAATGGTACCGGTAAATGCATCAACATCAACATCAGTTGATATATGGAAGTAACCGGACCTTTATTTAAACTTATTTCAACAGTATATGGTACTGATCAAGTGATCTTAGGATATTCTCTTTCAAAGAAGAAGAAAAAAGGGAAGTTATGAGTTAAATTTTCTGTACATAATAAACCATATAAAAAAAGCTTAAACTTTAACTGTTGAGCTCCTAGCTCTTCCCTAGTCGTATTAAATTAATGTCATAAATATTAGTCAGTGAAAGAAACTTGTTGTTTCTATCAAGAATTAGATGGGTATAGCTAGCTAGTGGAGTGTTGCTGTGAGCAATTGAATTAATTGCAGCATTGGTGTTTGCAAGTAAAGGCTTTCTTAATTGGAGTACGGTTTATGTATAACAGCCAGAGGCATTGTTTATTGATTGACCCGGCAGTCGATCAGATATATTTATTTGTTTGTGTTAATGAAATAGTAGTGTTAGAAAAACTTTCCTTTGCCTCTTTCTTCTTTTCAATTAAGCTTTTAAATTTCTACCTTGATCAATGTTTGTTTTTAACTTGTTTCTGTTGGATTATTGGTAAGTAGCAGAGAAGATTATAAGAAAAGCAAATCTAAATGCTTAATTGTAAGTTAACTACAAACAAGCTTTTCAAAAATTCTTTTTGTGCACGCAGATACAATATGCAGCAAGCATGCAAGGTGTTGCTTTCAGATATATATTTAAATCAGACGTCAAACATCTTACGGGACCACAATCAATGTCTGAGCTTGTATAAAATATCATCCAAACTTCAAGGAAACAATAGACTGGAAAAACTTTTGCAGAATATGCAATCACGAGAAAGTAAACTAAATGATTACTTGAATGAATGCTTTGCTGGAAAGTTTGGCAAATGAGGCACACAAATGCGTACTTATAATTCTTTTCAAGCGTAGAAGTCACTCAAATAGTTCAATATCAGCCTACAACATTACTGGAAGTTAAGTTTAGTGCAGGCCATATGTTGCGAAGATCAACTATACTTGGAGTCATAGGAACACATTAGAGAATCATATATACATGTTGGACACACTTGAGTCTCATAAAGTCTATACATATGTGTTAGACACCATTTACACCCAAAAGCTTAAGCTATTGGGTCCATCATGTATATATAAGACATCTTAATCTCATTTCTTTGTGATATGAGATTTTTTACTTATATATGAACCATCCCAACAATATTCTCCATTCATGCTCGTCGGAAGCTGAATTGGAAACAAAATCATATGTTAAAACCCTAGATCAAATCACAATTCTAAAGAAAAGATAATTAATGGATTTCATTCGTGCCTCACACGGTAATTGGGATTGAAGTTAGCAAACATGATTGCCTATGATAAAGTAAATGAGTTCACAAGTGCATGATTAAGGTTTTCAGTGATTAAAAGTGAATCAAGTTTATCGAAAATGGATATCTGAGTATAAATTAATGAAAAATAAATGAGTTCATAAGCACATAATTAAAGCTTTTAGTTTCACATTGTACACATACCAAGTATAATGTCTGTGAACCTATAGCTAGATATTGACTTAAGCAGTCATCACTAATCTTTTTTATTTAAGTGTAATTAACTACTTAATTAAATTTGTCCAAAAATTTTAAATTTGACTCAGGTATTTTTAAAACCTAAATTCAATATCTACAAAACCAACTAGGTCTGGAAGAATAATTACATGTAACTAAGATTATAATACCTCCACAATACCCATCAAAGGATGGTACCAACTAGATTTCATATTATCCATTGAGTCTTAAAAATCTTAGCAGGTAGTTAATTATTAGGAATTACTCTTAATTGACTCAATACTTTTGACAAAAAATTAAGAAAATCACATCACCTCTAGAGTATAAAAAAAACTATTATTTCTCTTATCCGTTGTCAGATTATTTAACATTTAAAAAAATTTCAAAAACAAATTTAATACTTCAACTTATGAACTCAATGTATCACCTAAGCTCTGCATTTTTATCATTTATTCGCATGGGTCAAGGCAGAGCACTTAAACTTTGCTGCCTAGATTGTCTTAGTGCTCCCTCAAGCTTAGTCAACAATCTCCCTCCAACAACACCACTGGGACTTAAACTTGTAACATTGACTCTGATACCAGTTATTGGAGAGATAAGTTACGCTTAGAGCTATAGTAGCACATCAAAGAACCCATATATACATGTTGGACATCATTTGAACCTAAAAGCTTAAGCTATTGAGTTTTTAAGTCCTTTATGTATATATAAAACATCTCAATCATATTTTTTTGTGATATAAAATTTTTTACTCATACGTGAATTATCCCAACAACGTAAAGGTTTCTTCTAAAGTGTATTAGTGCTAAGGAACAATAAAAATTAATAACTTCTTCTTTCCCATATATTTAGCTAGCATGAATGGTAGAGAGCTATATATCAACTCATACATAAAGAGATAAAAGTGTATATCAATAAAGATACTGGATGCACATTACCATATTATGTCTTAACGTAGCCTAGTAAAGGATAGAGGCAAAAAGCGACTAGTTAGGAAATTAAGCATGAATATATAGTTATATATGAAAAGCAAGTTTTCAGACCTCAGAAAAGTACAATCTTATATATGAACACCGGACTCATCCTTACCAATGGAGGAGGTGTTGAAAAGACAAAATATGAGCGGCATCTTAAAATAGGGTGATGAGAAAGAATCAAGATATATAGCAGATGCATGCATTTGTAATAGAAGTCATTAATTCATGAAGAGTGAAACTAAGAACCAGTAACCTACCTTGAACAGTTACGTTTTGGTTCAAATGAAGGTGGAGCTAGAGAATTAACGCAAGAAAGAGTGGTCAAGAAGTGCCAAAGAAGAATGAGCAAATAGCAAAGTGATTGGGCAAGAGTCAAACTGCTTAATATGGATAAATAAGGTACTAGGCCTAGTATATAATTAAACCAAAAAAAAGGTATTCTGCCCATGAAATACATTTCTATAGAAGCCTAGAGGGGTGTGAATTGTTGAAGCATTTACTCTTAGAAGAACTAATTCACTTGTGAGAGTAGTCAAGGCTTGAAAGTCCCTTTTAAGCAATGAGATTTCTACCAGTGACATACTTATTGTGCTCGTTCTTCTCAGCTCATATTGCACATGAGAATGAGAGAGAGAGAGAGAGAGAGAGAGAGAGAGAGAGAGGTGGGCAATATTCAATTAACAAGGAATCCTAGCTAGGTTAAAAACTAGTGGAAAAGTCAGCTATTCTCCTTAGACTATTTTGAGGTGCACATTTCCTTCTATCTGGTTGAGGCTTTTGCTGCCAGAATCAATTAATCAACCAAATCAGAGACAGAGTGTTAGCAAAGTCAAAAGGAAGGGACGCAAATGAAGAGGAGCACATGCCAAAAGAACGAATAATTAAGGTTATCTTAATGTATGTTGTTTGTGAAAGAAGGAAAGAAAACATCATTTAGGCAAGTACCATTTCAAAACAAAGTCCATGTGACTGCTGTTATGTCCCATCTTTCTCCCTACATATCTCAAAACTTCCAAAAACTTTTCCCCACCATAATCTTTCTATGTTTCTACTCATTATCACTATTATTTCTGGTTAACTTCGAAACCCCTGCTTCATATACATACTGCATGCTACAATCTAAAACATATGTGGAGTATAAGTATACCCGTACAGTACTTCTATCAGCTAGAAGCCTTAATTGCAAGCTACTTAAGACTAAATTTATTCATAGATCGGCAATGAACTTATCAATTCCATCTGCTTGATTAATTGAAAGGTTTCGCCAACCTAACATGTCATCCCACCAGGGAGGATTTGGACCAAAAATCACTTCAAGAGTGTAATCAGATATAATTAAGGAGATCTCGGACCAGTAAGGTTGAGACCTATATATATTGACTACTGTTTAATTAATTAGGTAATAAAAAACATTGAGATATTCCCAACAAACAATTAGTTAAAGTTAAGGATCAGGAGACCACTTGGTGTATGTTCTGGGAAAAGAAATTATATAGAACCAGTTCTTGGTAAAGAGTACAAGAAATCATTAAAATATCATTACTTTTTTGGTTGGTTAACTTAACCATCTATTCTATGCTTTACAAAATGTGAAGGATTAATTTCTTTTTTTCTAACAACCCTACAATTAGTTCACTTGTTTGCATCTACAAAAGAATTGCCTAAGAAATTAGCTATTCTTGTATCCACCATGAGAGGATAATTAAATCTCCCTAAACATATTCTTCTGAGATGGTAAGGATGAATGAAATAATAAAAAAAATAGTAGTATATTGAAAGCAGAAGACAGAAGGAGTACTGTCAAAGAGCAGCATAAATTAACTTATCCATCTAATCATGGATGTTTCCAAGCCACAAAGAAAGCAGCCATTTTACTTCGGTACTGATCGATCTTTCCTTCAATGGTGCCCCAAATGGCTAATGAGGCTAGGCAATGATCGGAGGTGAGGGATCCAATGGAGCTTAAGTTTATGCTTCTCCACTGCATATTGAATCTGGATTAAAAGAGAAATTGCGGTAGTGGGGAGAGAGAGGGAAGCAAAGCTTTAGTACCATCACAAATATTCAAGATACTCAAATAGCAGGAAATGGCATCCCAAGAATGACACTTTTTTGGACTAGAAATTGGACACGGCATTTGCTGATCTGATTACTGTTGGATACTCTGATCAATACGAACAATCTGCCTAGCTAGATTTGCTCTTAAGGCTCAACTCTTGGCTCACAGAAAATTATTGTGTTTGAAAGAACCTCTTAATCCTCAGTTTCCTCGCAAGCTAAACTTGATCACAACCGAAATCCATATAAAAGCTACATCGCCAGGCAGTTACAGAAAGTCGATGACTAATTCATTTTATAAAAATTAATCTAAATCGAGATTATGATACCATAACTTCATGATTAAAGGCATGTTATAGAATCAGGAAAATTATAACGTTGACCATAACTAACTATAATCTTTTAAAATGTCCAGTTTATATAGATTCTGCTTACAGAATCAAGACACAGAATACCAGCCCCAGTTATGTCAACATTCAATAGCATCATGTTAATCAATAGGAAATCAAATAATTGCTCTGTTTGCAAATAAACTTCAAGGGGCCGTCTAAACCAATAAATTAACTCAGGAGGCACACAAGGCAAAAATTTTAACCATGATGCAATAAATTCAAGTATGAAGTTCAATGGCATTGAGAATGGTTAGGCACCACCAGTATGTGACTTGAAAGTACATAAGAATGATGGATCCCCAGTGACCTAAATTACAAAATGATAGATACCTAAAGAGAAAAAAAGGTAAAACTTCTAACACCAAAAGAATTTGTATTATCAATTGTAAAACTTGCACACTTAATCTATCACTTTTTGTAACACAAATAACTGTTAATAGGTACACACCCCTCCAACATACAGAAAGAAGACAAGATGTTATGACTTATCAGCTTCCTACAATCAGCTAAAAGTGAAAATAGAAGCTAAAATTGTGACCACTAAAGTGAGAAACAATTTGGAGTTCCCACTGAGCAATGTCATTGCAGAAGAGCTTTGCGATTCCCTGCAAATACAAGTACCCATTAGGTATAGGAAGGAAAGACAGGAGAGAGCGAGAGAAATTTAAATAAGGTTTCAGATATACTTCTGCAAGCTCTGCAGGGCACCACAATAAAGAACATTATCAGGTGGAGCCATCTCTGTCTCCCCATTTTCCTCAGGATTTATAATTCTGATGTATGTCTCTTGGCCTAGATACCATCTTTCCAAGTTTTCAACTCTAAGGTTCCAAACTCCAACATTGTCAAGAGAGATAAGAACTGCTGTCCATCCACCCTGGTAGACCTACACAGAAGGTGATTAAAGGTTAACAGTGAACAGCAAAATGTGCTTTTTTTATATAATACAAAATCAAATCTACGAAGGCAAAAAAAAACTGTTGAGCACTTCCCATTGTGGTGTACAAGGTAAAAGTGTCTTTGTTAGAAAAACAAACCTCTGTTGTGCAGCGTGAAATTGCATCCCATTTATTATAATTGTTTCTGCTGTTTTCAGTCCACTGACCAAAGTCCATTCTGCATCAAACACCTAGAATAGTTTAAAATACAACAAATCAACAGCAGTTTAGAACTTGCACATTCGTATAAGATTCTTACCCAACCACAAAAAATGCATATCCGTCCATGTGAAAGCTCTGCATTTTGGTGTCATTATTCTGCAATATAACCTCTATGAATCCTTTGTATGTAGCATTAATTAAAGATCTGTCCATCTTGGGAGTTCTATTAAGTGGCTTGTTGGGGAAATCCAGCTTATAAGAACCCTTTACATTGTGCAGGTCAGCTAGCCTGATTGGTGTATCAGGGTTGACGAAAGAGATACCATTCAGTGTGGCACGAAGCTGCCCATCAATCCTAACTGGAGGCAAGCTCCATAACACATATGTGTCAGTCACATTAATTGAACCATAGTGAAAAGAGCCTTGCGGATTTGGGCGAGCTCCACTTGCAGAAGTATTTTGCCTAAACATTAGAAAATAGAGAGTTTAATTAGCAATGGATTAAGGAAAGTTTTTAGTTGTAATAAAGAGAAACTTTACACAGCTTGTACAGACATATTTGTTCTATAATCTCTATAGCTATATTCAGAGAATAACATTTGAAAGAGAGCTGGTTGCAAGTTTTTACAGAAAAAGAAAGTATAAATGGCTATAAAGAAACTATACTCAAGCTATGGAGATTTGAGCACAAACCTGATGGCCTTTGGCTGGTTCATTGCTGCCCATTGGTTGTAAATATCACTTGGTGGAACAGGCAGAGGACCAGTAGCTGGTCCTTTTGAATTGGAATAATGCAAGATGGCCACTCCTGTTACTCTTTCCCAAACAGATTCATTCACGAACCTAGCACTTGCCACAATGTAGTAATCTGTAGTTGCATTCTGATCCATGGTAACTAAAAAGGAATATGACTGTCCCACATGAATATCAAAGCTGGTGAAATTCTGTTGTGTCGTATAATATCCCTCAGTTTCGACTAAGAGCAGATTATGGCCCTGAATTCTAAAGTTCAAACTAGTAGATATCCCAACATTATGCACACGAAAGCGATAAGTTTTGCCTGCAAAACATAACAACACTGCAGATTAAGATTTCATGCGGGTAACAACCCTTTTCTGTGACTACTGAGTACTGATGTTGCATGAAAAGTTATGACAATGAGTGAATGTCGACATGTGAAACCTGTAATTTAAGGGGTTTTTTTTTTTTTCTAAAAAAAGAAAAAACCTATGCAGCTCAAGGAATGCCAATGTAAAAAGGTGACATCACTCAATTTAAATGAGCCTCAATAAATTAGATTTAATTGATGATATTATATATCCAGATGATAACTAAACAAAGCAAACTTTTTTGAACTGTTATTAAAATAACATCTTACAAAATATTTTACCATTCAAGGCCAAATAAAAGTATACCTGGATCGACATTAATGGTTTCGTATTCAATACCATCAGGTACGAGAGTTGTATTATATCGGTAAGGTCCCTTCCCATTAATGAGAACTCCATCTGGCATCCCAAGTTCTTCACCAGAGTCAAGAGTGTTTCTCAATGCCTAAAAGAAGAGCGTGTCAATTATTATTAGACTTCAACTGCAAAAAGGAAATTCAATGCACATAAAATCAAAATCATAACCGTCCATTTTTTACTAACCGTGTGGTTTTGGGTATACCAGTCACCAATCAAGATGACAATGTCACCATCCGGTCGGGCAAAAGGAATTGCTACAACTTTCCGGTTATTAATAACAATGGGACCAAAGCCACCAGATGCTCTTTGAAAATTGAGTGAGGGGAAGTAGAAAAAGCTCCCAATCTGATCCTTAACTTGAAATTGGTAAGTAAAATTCTTTTTGGGATGAATTGGACAATTTGTACCAAGAACACCATCTTGCCAAGAATTTCGCCGCATTTGGATTCCCGGCCTGTAAAAACCATAGATCAGAAAACTTTCACAATATCCCTTTAAAGAATAATATCCAAAGGGAAGAATAACAAAAAATTTATCTGAAAACCTACCAAGTCATCAAAAGATTTTCGTCCAATTGATTTTGAACATTAATAGCCACATTGTAATTAGTTGTGGCATTAACAACAGGACCAGGAAATGCTCCATTAACTGCTATAACCTGCAAACAAAAGAATTAAACATAAAGGTAAATTGAACCCTTATCTATCCGGTATTTCCATATCCCGATTTCTGATTCTACAAAATCCGGAACCCAAGTCCCATATTACAAGTACAAGATGGTTCCAAAAGAAAACAGAAAAATGTCGAAAATTACACATAACGCTACACCTGATCAAACTTACCACCGTCTTTGCCATACCACTCGATTGAGTTCACTAATATTTCAAAACATTATATGAAGACTGAAAAAACGACATGTAGATAAAAAAAAAATGGTGCTCAAAACCAAACATTTGATTCAACAAAACAAAAATCACCACTAAGAACATTTAATATAAATGCCTAGAAAATATTAGTTTTAAACACAGAGAAAAGTCCTGTGGTCCAAACTATACTATGACAGTTGAACCGCTAACAAGGCTTTGACTTACGTTCAAAAAGTTAATCAAAGAACAAGAATATCCTACTGGAGGAAACATGAGAAAGGGGTAAAAGAATACAACAACGATACTTCTAGAAAGTCATCAATATAGTTTATTAACATTCCAATAGCAGTTACAGATTCAAAACAGTTACTTAAAGCATCAAATGACCTATAAAGTAACAATTTTGGACCCTCTGACGTACTTAAAAACAATTGAACCCCAGTATTTACCACCCCATAACTGTACATAATGAAGAAGAAATTACAGTAAACGTTAAGAATAATGTCCTTAAGAACAGTATTTTCGTGGATTCGAAGAAATAAAAGAAAAGAAACAGAGTAAACAGATGGTAGTGTTGAGAAGACTAACCCGTTGAGGAACACCAAAAGGAGAGACGGTGATGTAAGAGAGTTTGAAATCATAGAAGACATAAGGGTCTTCAGCAAAACAGAGACTTGAAAGCAGAGTAATGAGAATCCAAAGAAACAGAGACACTCGAAGCAGAGCCATCTTACATTAAAAAAAAATCTTGCTTTTTCTATCTTTGTTTCAAAGAAATTAGATTTGAATGGAATGAAAGAAATAAAAAAGAAAAAGCAAATCAAGAAGGAATATTACAGGAGATTCACAACAAAAATTGGGAAAGAGACAGAGAAAGAGGGGCTCTTTATATAGTAATAGTATGTATGAAGAAAAAGTAGTGGGAAAAGAACAAAGTATACAGGGCTGCCCTATGGGCTGAATATGGCACACGCTCGTTTTGAAAGTTTTGTCAAGCGTTGATACCCTTACCCCTGTATGGGTTTTACAGGCTGCAGCCGGTGGCAAAAGGAAATATGACGCGGACAGTCAAGAAATAACTGCACAAGTTTCAGCGTCTCGCTGTTCTTTTTTCCCCCATTATTAAATTGACGATTTTTTTTTCCTTTCGCAACTTTAACGTTCAGATTTTCCCAAGAAAAGGTCAGCCTCACATGCACGCCCCCATGCCCCACCTAACTCAAACAATGGGCCCCATAGCAACGTTTTTCGCCTCTTTCATTCCTTAATCCACTCTCTTCTGTGAACAGAAAGGTGGAATATCCTCTCTCCCTCTTTCGGAGTTCATTCTGTTTCCTTTTGTAAACACTAATTATTAATTTTTTGCTTGGTAGGCCAAATTTGTTTAAGGCAAGCAAAGGCAATGGACCACTTTGAATCGATTTTTTTCTCATATTTTCACAAGGAGGTTTCATATTCCTCCTTTTTTGAAAGTTTTAATGCTCTGTGGGAATTTGAATCATTCATGATGGTGATAATCAATTGGTGAATCAAATTCCATGCATCCACCATTATTTTTATTATTTGGACTTAAGAGTTGCAATTAAGTTTGGTTGAAATCAATGTATGGTAATGAATTTTCCATCAATTTGTTAATAATGGATGGTAAATCAAAGCAGAAATTAATTTAGCCCACTTGATACTACTCCCACCTTCTTCTTATTATTATTATTATTATTATTATTATTATTATTATTATTATTATTATTATAATGGGGGTGGAAAACCTGGTTTTGATTCCATCGAAATGTTTCTTTCTCCCACTAATATATGTGGTTTTAATTAGTTTCCTTTTCTACTATCAATTTTTCTCCCATTCCAGTAATCTTTGGTGAAGAACTATAGATAAAGATGAATCTGACTTAGAATCAATTATAATGATGCATCTGACATAGAATCAATTATATAGTATTAGAAGATACCACCTGAGCTCTACATTGCACATTGGAGTATAGGAACAAAAACCATTGGAACTTCTTTATTTGTGCCAGCAAATTTAATATTTACATCCAAAGAATCCTTTAAATTTAAAAAAAAAGAAAAAAAAAAAAAGAAAAGAAAGATGCCCAAATTTAATCCCATGACAAAAGTGATATATAAATTAAGTAACTAAGGCGTATACTATCAAGTTTACAGCTTTTTTTTTTTTTTAATTTGAAGTTTATATATTTAATTTTGTGTGTAAATAGATAAATTTTTCATTAATCTTTCACGGAAAAACTGAAGTTTATTTCTGTAGCTTAAGGAAGAAGCTTGAGCAATGTGAACTCCACATATGCAATTTCGTCAACATCAAATATAATGTGTACAAAGCAATAAACAGAATGGAGCTCAAGCGCTTGTTTACTTACACAACCCATACCACTTTAATTAATCTATATGGAGGTCATTTTCCTAACAGAGACATCCACATTAATTTCCACTTGTTTGTAATTACCACTCTATTCAAACAATAATCGAATGCTAGTAGTATATTATATTATTTTCTTTTTTATACTCTCTTCAAATTATTTTAATTATTAAAATTAAAATTTTAATACTCTCTCTATATTTATATATTTATATCTACCGTTGGCTATTAAATTAATTTCTCTGTTGGCTATTATAGTAATTTTTCCGTGAACTACTTCTTGATGCATTTTTGTAAATGGATTAATTATGAAAGTGAACTTTCTTTCTTAAATAATTAGAGTACATCATTTGAGATAAGATTTTTCGAAATGACCATTTGAAAGAACACAGCAATAGCCACTATTTCACTTGCATTATGGGACATGTGTCTACTTCCATTATCATTTTCAACTTCATAGGTCATATTGAATAGTTCAACCCCCCACCACAATCAAAACAACAGTATTTAGCCACACTTTTTTTTTTCTTGAAATAGAGACCAAATTTGTGTCTCAGAGCTTTTGGTACAATGACTAAAGCTACTTAAAGGGACATCAAAAATCTGATTTTAAATCAGATTTTTTCTTCTCATTACTAGCATTAAAATTTTATATTCCTGACGTAATAAAAAAAATATAGAGACCAAACTTTCATTAATGAACTATTAAATGTTACAATCAGAATTCTGAGGCAATAATATGTTCAATACAATGTGGAAAGCCTTCTATCCAACACCTATCTTCAACCATATTAATGTGCTCCATGCCATACTCTTTTAACTCCCAATTTTTAAATAGTAGGGTATTATGGGATAATTTTTTTCATTCCCCATCCTAAACTTAAATAATTGTGGGTAATACTTCTTAAAGTTTTTTTTTTTTTGTCCACTTTATTCTATTGATATGGAGAATTTAAATGCTTTTGAATATCTGCTTTTATTTTGGCAGGTGAATTACCGGAATTAATGATAGTCAAAATAAAAAATATTTCCAAGATTAACCAAATGGAGCTCAGATATTAAGGCGCTTAGTGAACATTTATTTCCTTTTAGGTATTGCTAGAATGAAGATTTACTTGCTTGAATAATATATACCTTTCCATATCACAAATGTTACTTCCCTCGTGATATAATATTATTTAATATTATACCTTCCTTGAAATAGCCGAAGAGCTAGACAAACTACGAGCAAGAAATTTCTTTTCTTTTTTTTTTTAAGAAACGGCTAACCTGTCACATTCCTCACTATATGTTTGGGTGCGGATAGGATATAAAGCAGCTTGTCAAAGTCTCCAACGAGGAAGAATAGCCAATAACAAAACAATATTAAAATTGAAAATGTCTAATTTCGATTTGCTCCGGTTTTGGCATCTTGGATCGGAGGCTACAACTAACTTGCACATGGGCCTTACGCAAAGATGTGCTCTCAACCACTTTTAATTGTGATCACCAACACCAAATCCTAGTTGTGGGAATTATCATAAAATCTAATTTCTTCTCTAGAAATTCCCAGCAACTTTATTTTTAATGCTTATTTTCATTGTTGTGTGGAAACTAAGTGAAAAGAAATGTGGCTGCCAACCCATTGATTAAAAAAAAAAAAAAAACCATAGATGGGTACATGTTTACGCATTGAGAGCCGGAGCCCACAGGTTTCTCTGAAAAAAATCATGCCATGTAACGACCAAGGACAGAGATGCATGTTTAAACCAAGTGCTCCAAAAGCAGCTTTCTTAAAAAACCAAAAAAACATAAATCAATCCCTATCCCAAAGGACAGGTGTTGTCCTCTGCAAAATTAATGGCAGCCCGACCAAAACACAAAAATTGGAAACAACATAATACTTGTAATATTTTTTCCTTGCCAGAAAATTTCTCAACTGTTGACAGCCAAGACTGTTAGGAAGTGTGGGTTCCAACCCTATTGATTTTGGCCAATTAAAAGGTTCATAAGTTTTTTTTTCTTTAATCAAGGAATAAAGCCTTAAATATTAAAGATTTGAGGATTAAGTTTTTGGTGTGAAAAAAAAAAACAAAAAGAGAGGATGCCAAATAAAAAAATAAGAAATGAGAGTTAGTTAAACGAGAATTGATCTATAATTTGATTGAGTTAAAATTTTATTAACGAATTTATAATTTATAGTTTTATATTTTGAATAATGAATATCGGATTTGAAACTTTTTAGGAATAAATGTAAAGTATATTTATTGAATTACCTATTTAGTGAGATTTTTTCAATTATTTTTTTAATTATTAATTAGCTTTAGTTTTAGTTAAATGAGAACTTTGTATATCCATTATTTGATAATGAAAATTTTTTTATGCTTCTTAATTTTTTTCCTCCACACTCAAAGGTTTTAAACGTAAATCTTAGTGTACTTTATTTTTATGCATTTTAGATTATTGATTATTGTTTATTGCTGTGGGTTTATTGCAATATATTATTTTTACATTATTGTGTTTGTTGCTTTAGGTCTAATAAGTGGTATTAGAGTAAGGGTAAATTTGAGATATCGATACAAAAGTAACCCAAGATAGAAGTAAATTCTATTTAAGATCATGAAGAGTAATACAGGTTTCACGATAAAATTAATAGCATTAAATTATTCAATTTTACGTTTTGTGTTTGCTACTTTAGGCCCAATAAGTGATATCAGAGTAAGGGTAAATTTGAGATATCGATACAAAAGTAACCCAAGATAGAAGTAAATTCTATTTAAGACCATGAAGAGTGATACAGGTTTCACGATAAAATTAACAGCATTAAATTATTCAATTTGAAAACCTATGATTAATGATCATTTATATTGTAAAGATTTGTATGAACCATTATTGGGTGATTTAGTTAAACCAACAGATACGAAAAATGAAAGTTGAAAGAAGTTAGGCAGAAAGACATTTGTCACAATCAAAAAATAGGTTAATATTAGTATGTTTCATCATGTAGTGCAGGAGACAAATACTCACACTATTTAGAAAAAATTGACAGTATTACATGAAAGAAAAACTAACATGAATGGATGATCGATTACAGAGCACTTAAGTAATTTTCAAGATATATTTAATCAGATGACTATTATAGAGTTTAAAATAGATGATGAAACGGGGCATTGTTTTTTTTTTATTCACTGTCAAACAGTTGAAATACTTTAGTTGTAACTGTTCTTAATTCAGTTTTTGATTACAATGTGACATTAGGGATGGTAAATGACAGTATGCTTAATGAAAAAATAAGATAAAAAGATTTAGATCTTAAAAATCAAGCTCTAGTGACAGAAAACAAAGATAAAAACGTCAACAGAGGTCAGAACTCAAAAGGTTGTAGTAAGTCTAAATATAAATTTAAGTCCAAAGATAAAATGAAGTACTTTCATTATAGTAAAATAGGTCATATAAAATGACACTGTAAATTCTTGAAACAAAAGCGAAAAGATGAAACAGGCAAGAGTTTAGATAATGACAATGTTGCAGTAGTGAATTCAGATAGAGATTCAGTTACTCTGATTTGTACATATAGTAATTGTAATCATGTTGGTGATCCTGACAATGAATGGATAGTTTACACAAAACGATATATCATTATGTTCTTAAGAGAGAGTTGTTTACAACTTACAAAATAGAAGACTTTGGTTACATTAAGATGGAAAAAAAGTGTCTTGCAGATTGTTGAGATTGATGATATTGTTGTACAAACTAGTAGGGCTGTCTGTTAACTTGAAAGATGTTAGACACATTTCATATATAAGAATGAACTTGCTTGCTATTAATGTACTTGATAAAAAAGGATATTAGAGTTGACAAAAGAATGGGCAGTGAAAGCTTCTTAAATATCTATGGTAGTTGCAAGAAAAAAATTATACTGCATAATGTACAAGATATGGATACAATTGAACAGCAACTAGATAAATGTCGTTGAAAATGATGCTTCAAAAAATATGTGATACAATAGACTGGCACACATAAACGAAAAGAGTTATAGGTTTTGGTAAAACAGTCTATTATTTTTTAAACCAAAGATATGTCTCTCGATTCATGTGTTAATTGTATATTTGGTAAGCATCATAGAGTTTTTTTTTCATAAAAATTCTCAGAGAAAAGAAAACATATTGGAATTAATTCATTATAATATATGTGGTCCCATTAAGGTTGAGTTATTGGGTAGTGACAGGTATTTTGTTACTTTTATTTATAATGTTTCATGTAAGATTTTGATGTATATGTTAAAAAATAAAAGCTAGGTATTATAGTATTTTCAAAAATTTTATGCCATGATAAAAAAGATGACAGAATTACCCTTGAAGTATATTCAAACTGATAATGTTAGAGAATACACATCTAAAGACTTTGAAAATATTGTTCAAAGCATAGGATCAGGCATAAGATGACAGAACCTGAAACACCGTAGTATAATAGTATAGCTGAAATGATGAACCGTATCATTGTGAAAAAAGTCAAATGTATGTTGAAGATGACAAAATTACTAAAGTCATTGTAGGGTGAAACAGTCAATGTACACCATCATTTCCTTTGGACTTTGATATTCTCAAAATAATATGGATAAAGAAATATGCTTTATACTCTCACTTGAAAGTTTTTAGGTGTAAAGTATTAATGTATGTGTCAAAAGAGTCGAGGTCAAAACTTAATAGTCAAACCACACAGTGTGGGTTTATAGGTTATGGTGATGAGGAATTTGACTATCGGGTATGGGATCTAGTGAAAAAAAAGATAGTCAAAAATGTGATTTTTCATGAAAAAAATCATAGCAAACTTTGAGAAAAATAAAAAAACTACATGAGTTACTATTAAGTGTGATGTTTCAATACCAACAGGGGTTTTATCGAAAAGAGTCACAGATGGTAGAAATAAGCAAGAGACAAAACTTGAGGATACAAATGAGCTAGATACAATTAGTGATGAGCTAGATGTAATCAGTTTTGTGCAGATTGAGCAATCTTCTTTACCAGAGAGTGTTAAGCAAGATGAGCAGTCCTCTCCACCAGAAAGTGTTGAGCAAAGGGAGTTACATTCGACATTAGATGGTGTAGAGTCTCAGCCTAAAAAATCTACTAGAGAGCACAGGCCATCCACCTGGTATCCAAGTTTAAATTTTATTTTAGTTACCAATGAGAGAGAGCCAAAAGACTTTCATGATGCACAGACTATTTCAAATAGAGAGTACTAATTAAAAATAAAACAAATTAGAATCATTAAGAAAAAATGGTGCATATGATCTTATTAAATCTTCAAAAGATAGAAGGTCATTGAAGAATAAATGAGTGTTTAAGTTGACAAAAATGGTGACAAACTAGTGAGGTACAAAGCTCGATTGATGATGAAAGGTTTTTCTTAAAAACTTGGCATTAATTTTGATGAGATCTTTTCTCCAATTCTAAAGATGAGTTTCATTCGAGTGGTACTTAGGATTAGCAGTTAATTTGAATCTTAAGCTTGAGCAATTTGATGTTAAGAGTATATTATTGCATGGTGACTTGTAGAAAGATATTTATATAGATCAGCTTAAGGGTTTTAAAGTGAAAGAAAAAAAGCACTTAGTTTACAAACTGAAGAAAAACTTGTATAGCTTAAAACAAGCTCCACAATAGTAGTATAAAAAAATTTGATTCTTTTATGGTGAGCCATAGCTATAAAAAAATGGTGATAGATCTTTGTGTGTACATCGAAAAATTTTTAATGGTAACTTTATTATTCTCTTATTATATGTTGATGATATGTTGATTGTGGGACAAGATGTTGATATAGTTCATAGGTTGAAAGAATAATTATTTAAGTCATTTGACATGGATTTAGGTCCAACAAAGTAGATTTTTTATATAGATATTATCCAGGATAGGAGAGCTAAAAAGCTATATTATCCTAAAAAAAGTATGTTGAATGTGTGTTTAATAGATTCAATATGCAACATGCTAAATCAGTTAGTAGTTCACTTGTCAATCATTTTCATCTGAGTAAGAAATCTTATTCGATAACTAAAAAAAAAACTAGATATATCTAGTATTCCTTATTCTTCTGCAGTTGATTCTTTAATGTATCTTATGGTTTATACATAGCTTGACATTGCTCATGCAGTTGGTGTAGTGAGAAGATTTTTTTTTAATTCAGAAAAAGTTCACTAAAAAGTAGTGAAATAGATTTTCAGATATTTGAGTAACACTTTAAAAATATGCTTGAGTTATGGAGTTTCACAACCAGTTTTAGAAGGGTTTACTGATGCTGACATAACAGGTGATCTTGATTATAAAAAATCTACTTCAGGGTATTTGTTTACTTTTGTAAGATAAGTTGTGTCTTAGCAATCTAAGTTACGGAAGTGTATTGCCTTGTCAACCAGAGAGACTAAGCATATTACGACAACAGAAACAAGTAAAAAAAGCTTAGGATGAAACATTTTTTTCTTGAATAGAGGTTGAATCAAACAAAGTATGTGATATTTTGTGATAATCCAAAGTGCTTTAGATTTGAGTAAGAATATCATGTACTATGCTAGAATAAGGCACTTTGATGTTAGATATTACTGGTTACATTTGGTAATTGAGGAATAGTAGATGCAATTGAAGAAAGTCTATACTGATGAAAATACAGCAGATATGTTGACTAAGATACTTTTCAGAAAAAAGCTTGAGCTCTATAGTAACTTGATCGAATGTGTTCTTTGATCAAGGTAAGTTTCAAATGAAACTGCTAGATGATGAATTTTCTCTTAATAGGACTGGAGAGGGAGATTGTTAAGAAATGTAGGGTCTTACCCCATCGGTTTTGACCAATTAAAAGGCTCAAAATTTTTTTCTTTGACCAAGGAATAAAGCCCTAAACATTAAAGATTTGAGGGCTGAGTTTTTAGCATGAAAAAAAAAAGAAAAAATGCCGAATAGAAAGAAAAAAAGCTAAAAAAAATAAAGAGAAAAGGAAAAAAAGAGAGTTAGTTAAATAAGAGTCGATTTATGATCCGATTGACCTAAAATTTTATTTGCGAATTTATAATTCAGAGTTTTACATTCTAAATGGTGAAAATCAGATTTGAAACTCTCTAAAAATAAATCCAAAGTTTATTTGTTGAGTCACTTATTTGGTGAGATTTTTTCAATTATTTTTTCAATTATTAATTAACTTAGTTTTAGTTAAAAGAGAACCTTATATATCCATTAGTTGATAATAAAAATTTCTAGTGATCCATGATTTTTTCTTTCTTTACTGAAGGTTTTTTACATAAATTTTAATATATTTTATTTTTTATTGTATTTTAAATTATTGATTGTTATCTATTGCTGTAAATTTATTATGATATATTATTTCTGTATTATTATGTTTATTGCTTCAAGCCCAACGAAGACATATATCTACCTTCCAAAAGGATATTGTAGTAATATTGTATCATGATGTTGGATTGGCACAGGAAGAATACATTTCTACAATGTTTCGTCAAAAGGGAAAGGACGAATAAACGCAGAATTCACTTCCCATATTTTAAGTGTGGCCTTCACATTTACTCCAGTTGCATTGTTGAACAAGAATAGCCGTGCTGCTCCATAGATGGCTTCGGTTGGATAAATTCTTGATGTGATCACCGTCCTCCCTCCTTGAGCAAAGCTTTCCACGATTGAATGATCCACCTAGATCAACATTTTTTAACACAAATTTTGATCTTTAAACACATGTTTTTCAATCTAGGAAAGGGTACGTAAAAGTGTATCAATCTGGTAAAATATTGCTCACTTACCAGTACCCTCATATTGTAGTTTTCATCGTCAAGCACTGGAACTTTGCTTCCATACACCTCTTTGAAGACATCAGAAGCTTTAGAAGACCTGTATCAAACAATTTATTGGCTCGCATTGTTCTTGTTAGCTGACCAAAGCTGCCTGCAGAAAAGAAGAATAACACAAAATAAAGAAGCAAACCTTGTTTCGTCAGCGCAAAAGTAAGTCTTGAGATTGCCATCAGATGAATTAACTGGACGGAAATATACAGTAGTCAGCTCAGAAAGTGAATCATCAGCTATAACCAGGAGTCCAAATGGCCCGAAAATGCTCCTGTCAACCGCACCATCACCGCAATCACTGAATTCGTCTGTGGTATTAGATACCAATGACTCTATTTCAAACTCTGCTAGTATATCCAACTGCAATGTTTTCAGAAAAAATATTGATGATGAGTTGAGACTTGAGAGCTACTACATTAACATAAAGGCGATTAAAGAACTTCATTTTATAGGGTAACAAAACCTGAGTGGCACTGCCTATGTCGAGGGGCACAACTGATCCTGCTTCAACTAGCACCTCTTTAAACACTGTACTGTTCAATCTCAAGCTCTCTACTTCTTCCACTGGCCATTGAAGTATATTGGTTCCAGTCTTGTTGTCATACAGAACGGTCCTGGGAATTGTCTGTGAAATACGGAAACAAATTAATATGGGGAATCACTTTGCTTTCAATGTAAAATTCAAGTTGTTACTGCTAAGAAAAGTAATTAATTAGAAGTACATTCAAAATAATATCGTTTGAATTAATCATCATAAGATCACGTTTTCTTTTGTTTTCTATATCTATAATCAAACAAGTCAAAAACTTCCTCAAGAATTAAAATATGGCATAAATATTTTCCGTGACGTTTTTATCATAAAGGCGGCTGTAATTAATTCAATGAGCTGACTTTCTTGAAGCATACAAGCAAGATGGACCATGAATTAGTATATTACATCTAGTACGTAACAAAACTTAAAGATGCAAAATCCTAATTTGATATTGATAAATTGCAAGTTTAGAATTTAGACTTTCTTGCTAGCTAGCTAGATAGAAACATTCAATTAGAAAATTAATCGATCATGCATAAAGTTGAGTATTATGACTATATGTATACCTGAAGGGAAGCCCATCCTTTTGTCAAGTCAGCAGTTTCTGTATCAGTTTCATTAATCCAACCCCAAAGTACCCTCCTTTGTTTATTCTGATCAAAAAATGTCTTTGAGGCATAGTATCTTCCATAATCCACCCTCAAACCTATACCCACATCCTCTTTCGGGTTATCTGGCGTCCACTTATCCGTTATCAGGTCATAAGTCCCAATTGCATAATGGTCCACCTTGGTATCATCCAAACTAGCCTTTAACACATGCTTGATTCCAGGCCCAAGCGCGGATGTGTCCAACGCTACCGACCCGTTTGTTGCAACAGGGTAAAAATCCACGCATTCCCACATACCCGTACCCGGAACTGCATGTAAAACCCCATCCAATAATTCATAATCCCTAAAATTTGTTGTTTGATAAACAAGGGAGATTCCAATTGTGGTATTAAACTTTGAGCCCAGCGTGAGCCGCCAGGTACCGTCGGGTCCAAGCCAAGCAGTTGTCGGGTCCCGGAAATCATCGGCTTTAATCCCGGGTGGGGGAAGCATAACCGGGTTACCCGGGTATTTTAACCAATGAAGGAGGAGGGGATCAGATAGGTTAGAGGGGTATGCAAGGTTCTGCACTTGCACGGACTCATTGGTCTTGCCTGTGTAAAGTACTACGATTTGGCCATCTGGCAGGAGAGTGGCAGACCCCGTCCATACACCGTTGATATCGAACCATTGATCGGGGACCATGGCGAGTGGGAGATAGAGCCAATGAATCAGGTCCCTTGACACGGCGTGGCCCCATGTGATGTTGCCCCATATAGCTGAATAAGGATTGTATTGATAGAAAAGATGGTACCATCCCATGTGATATAATGGACCTGCAACCACCGTATTTTTGCTCCATAAAATCACATGCTATGCTAGTTTATTTTATCCCAAAAACAAATAATCAGATGCTAGCAATTTAACTGTTTTGTTAGTTTGCAAAACCAGTTAGTTGGGTCGGGCGATTGCTAACCAAACAGTCGAGGAACAATTTCCATGTTATTAACATGATTAGCTGGTGGCATTGCATCAAATTTAAAAATGGTACAACATATGATTGAGTCCAAGTGTATAAAAAATATATATCTGAAAAAGGTATGCAAATAAGAGTCTAATCCTACATAGAAAGATTATCTCATGTCCTCAAGATCTAACCAAAAGTTGAAGCCGTCAGTGATGAGATGTCTGAATGAGTGAAGCAGACAAAGTTAAAATAAATAAATAAAAAAAAGGTAGGACCCTTTGTAGAGAGGAGTAAGTAAAAAGCGTTACGACGGCAGATAGGATTGATGTAGTCCTAATCGGTCCCGTCCACAAGCTCCTAAAAGGAGTAATCACTGATCTTTCTTTTCTAACATCTTGGCCACAGAGCATCTCTAGGCTATTCCTTGCCACATATACCCACGGTCATGGGCATGGCTCCTAGCTCATTAGTAGTTGTCCTGCTGGCTACTGCTGCCAATATACCTCTAAAATACATCAAAATAATTTCCATTTTACAAGACATTAGTCGCAAATATATGGCTAATGACGCTTTAGTTCCAAAGATAAAAGAGACGGGTTGAACTCTTGGAAAATCATTCCGATCATTAAAAGGCCTGTTCACTGGAAGTCTGGAACCGGACGATAACTTTCACCGACATATCATGTTATCCATTAACTTAAGACAAAACTAAAATAATTGGGAATAGCATAGGATAGCCCAAAATAAGAATATTTGAGATATCACGTCTTGCTCAGTCATTACAACTATTTTTTTATGCTGATTAAAGGTGTTTGTGATTAAATTATGTGTTAAAGATTAAATAATTTTGACTTTGAGGTATAATAGTAATCATAAAGAGCCAATAATGCCCCTCCCTAGGTTTGTTAGCCACCAAATCAAAAACAAATATTTGGATGCACTCCAAAGTCTCTAATAAAACAACATTGTAGTAGATAGCATAAAATCGTGATAAGGAAACAAAAAAATTGTAGTAGTGTTGTTATGGGAACTCACCGTTAGGATCTGAAGCAGGATATCCAAATTCCCCAAACCAACGCGCAATAATAATAAGAAAAGACAGTAAAATTCGATAATTAGAAAGCTAACAAAAAACCAAACGGAAAGTAATCGAAATTTAAAACAGTAAACTAAAATGAAAAGTCTGATTTGCAATTTTGTTGAAAGTCAAAAAGCGCAAATCCTTCACTTAATCAACTTCCATACACAGAAATCTTATTAAACTAAACGTGATCTACAACTTTAGTTAGCAAAAGCAAATACAAGGAAAACGTGGTTACCTACCATTCATCCAATTCTTTTCAGGCTGAAAGTGGTAGGCTGTTCTTTGCCAAGAAAACATAGCGTTTGTCCAATTAAACAAAACTTCGTTCAGAAGAGATGGATTTGACTTGGCTGACACACCTTCAGCGATCCCTCTCGGCTGGGCCTGGGCCTTTGAATACGAAGGTGACGGCCCTGTTGAGCGTCGGTAATGGTTCTTGGCTTTGGTTAATGATTAATGTGACCAATGAGAGTAGGAAAACGACGGAAGCAAAGATCACTGCAAAACCCTTCAAGGGTCTACTCCGGGTCGATGGCGCTCCGCCGGAGGAGGGGTGGTCTAGCAAGGGAGCATTGAATGCTGGGTTTTGTTCAGGGTCATGGGAGGTACTGGCCTCCATGTTAGGAGAGCTTGTGGAGTAGTTCTACTTGTGGAAGAGATGTAACAATTAGTAAAATAATTAAGCAATGCGAAAGTAGAAAAGGGTAATGAAGGTTTAAATAATGCAACCGATCGAGAGAGAGAGAAAGAGGGACGGAACAGGGGGAGGTTTATCGTCTCAGAAGCGGGTTCGTGTATTCAGGGGTAAATATAGGAGCTAAGCTTGGATTGGGGGTCGTCCAATTTAGTTGGGAAGGAAAAAGGAGACAGAGGGAGAGGTGGCCAGATGTCTTGTCTTTGTGCAGTTAAAGAGGAACAGGTGAAAGGCCAGGTTGTCAAACTGAGATTAAGCTTTTTTGTGTTAGCAATCTATTGCATAATATTAACTCTCTTATTACTCTTTGGTTTGGGAGATTGGAGAGATGATTTTCTTTATAGGCAATGGGCACACAGCTTACGAGAAGGAAACGGATTGAATACTATTCTAATTCCTCATCTTTTTTTTTTTTTTTGAAAAGTTTCTTAAGATATCAGTTCCCATCTGACAAACCTTTTATTTCCAACCGTCTAGTCAAACTAGACAATAGGATAACAAGCCAATAGAATGGCAGTCCATTCAAATTTTTTTTTTCAAAAAGAAGAAAAGTAAAATTCAGCACTGCCAGCTTGTATCGAAATTAATTTCGCAGGAAGAATTGTCGTAATTAGATAAGCTGAAAATATTTATACCAAAAAATTTGTTTCCGTGCATTTCACAAATACGTTCCGTATGTCTATACAGAGACGTGCATAAACGGTTATAACTAATCTATTCATTTAAGGCACGAGACTCTATCCCAAAAAAAATGAGAAAATCCCTTTTAATTTTATTGGCCACTTGTTAATTAATGTCAATGATATTTATATAATTATTATACAAGTACTATTTTAAAATGGTTGGCCATTTTCTTAGCCTTACATCCACATCTTGGATTTTGTTTCTAATCTGACTTATCTTTACTTTGTGTTCTGGAGCAATTTGACTTTTCTAATATCATTTTTCATGAATCAAACCTGCCAATAACATGTTTCATGAAACATTGCTGAAATTAGAATTGAACATGTTTTTTACCTGGTAGAATCTGAAGTTTGGAATGGTCAATTTATGATAAAATTTTACATTTAATGAATAGGTGTAATACTAGCTAGATAATTAAGCTCAGTTTGTTAAACTTTTTTTTTTACTATTTATCTTCAATTTCTTATTCAAATTTTCTTTTATTTCTTTTCCTTTTCATTTTTTTTTTTTTGTAAAATAAAAATATTTACTAAACTGATCCTAGATTAAATAGTAAATAAATGTTTAAAATGCATGTGCACCTGACATTTGTACATGGGATCTTCTCTGACTAATTCATGGGACTTCATGACCTTAAATTTATTATCTTTACCAATAATGAAGCCCAATACAATGCATCTTACCTTCATGATCATAAAAACCAAAGCATATACAAAAATAAATAAATGAAGCGGAGAGAGAAGCTAATGGTGGCTGAAACAGAGCAGGAGAGTTAATTGATCAACGAAAAGGTTGATGAGAGGGGCCCTCAATGTACTGAAAGAGGACGTTTGGCGATATGATAATCACATAGTTTTGTAAAAATAAATTGGGTGGTTGGCAATGTGCAGGAGAACATTGTAGAAGGAAATACAATTCAACCAACATTAACAATGACATGGAGAGTAAAAATGAGCGACTTCAAAAGTCGATTGTGGTCAGAATTCGGCTAAGATTGTGACGCTGTGTCATGGGAAAATGATTTTTTATCTATACTTTCCTTTGTCTCTTCTTATTTATTAAGGCTAAGGATCCTTCCTTTGAACCCCCCATGCCATCTAATAAAATAATACACCAATGACCATTCATGAAAAGTCCCCATTTTATGGATTCTGATTTTGATATAGTGGGCTCGAAAATAACTAATTTTCCATTGTGAGAACTAAAATGTCATAATTAGTTAGCTAGAAATTTTAAATAATATTTCAGTCAAATTAATAGATTTAAATTCAAGTTTTAAATAATAAACATGTATGAATTTATCTTCGGATGCTTACATGAAATTTTCAACATTCTGAAGGAGTGGCAGTTCTCAGATTCACAGAACCTTAAGATCGCAAAGACATATATATATTGGAACATCATGTGACATGTCTGGAGTAAACTAAGCCTAGAAGCCTGCAGCTAACACTAATTCTCTTATTAGTGATTCTCCTCAATTTGAAACATGCATCATGTGCTTGAGCTGTAATTAGTAAACATGACTCATCTATTAGCTCGAAGGCTATTGTTTTCTTTTTGAAATCTTTGTACCGCTTCAGGATGGAATGGTTGTTAGGATTTGACAGTACCTACACCACGACTGTTTGGATCATAGGATCTTGCGATGTTCAAAATCTGTGACTTTTGGTTTTGTCCATTCTTGGCAAACAGCAAAAAGATTAAGATGCTGTGGATGCTCGTATAACATGTATTGAAACTATGGGTAGTACTTTATGAAAGCATTGAACCTATGGGTTCAAACAGTATTTTTTAAGGGCCAGTGTCAAAGATTTATTCTGATAATTGCCCAAAGAACAATCAAGAAATAAAGAAATGCATGTACTTGGTGATCGGCCAGATGTTGATCACCGAAATGTTGGATAAACCTTGGTTTTGGAATTGATAATAATGTTAATATTTACTTACTCCAAATGAGGATTTACAGTGGAAAATACATTAACAACTAATGAGATATGGAGATCCGGGATAAAAGAGAAGAACAATACTTGCTTGCTTTTTTAAGTAGCTGTCCAATGAAAAAGAGTAAAAACTGCATTTTGCCTGCTTTAGCCTACAGTATGCCTGTTACAATATAACTTTTATATCACCAGCATAATTAACAGATGAGGCTGATATATGTCATCAGAAGCATACACTAATTTCAAGCTGGCCTGGGATACCCGATAGAGAGAATACGTACATCTACAGTAGTAATTAAAAAGGTTAATGGAAGGGAGTCCAATCTTAAAATGCCAGTCTTTGGATCCTCCAACATTGCTAACACTATGCCTACAATTTATCCAATGAGATACTGATTTGACAACTCACGCCAACATGTAATTATAAAGAAAATTGATTGAATTCAGAAGAGTGGATGGGTCTACTCGACCCATCCAAGCCCTTCTTCGGGCCTATCATTTATCTCAGATTCATCAAGCATGCACTAACGTGCCTAGCTAGCTAGCTAACTAACTTCCGGAATCCAGAATATAGAGCAATCATTATTCTTCTTTCCATTTTTTATTAAAAGAAGGAAAGGCAAACTTGGGGCAATCAGATGATAAGCTTCGATTTGTTTCCTGGACAATTAACTTATTAGACTTGCAAATGATCAACTAAGAACATTTTTGAGGGCCCATTGCGCACAAAGCATTTTGGAGTTGTAACGAAATCAGGCAATTAGCCATTGACTAGCAAAAAAAAAAAAAAACAACGTATGATGTAACATAATCTGCCCAAAAGGCATCGAACCTGTAACCCAGATTGACCTTGCCTTTTGCTCAAAACTCGAAAGTTATATCATCTATAGAAATCACTTCAAAAATTTGACAGTCAAATTGAACTCATTTTCGTGCCTTAAATGGGTATTACATTCTCAAACCTAGATGTCTTCACTTTTCACACATTACTTTATAATATACTAGTTTTCCGAGCTCATTGGACTATTCTGTTAGTGTTAATTGCAGAAGCTTTTAGAATGTGATTTTTGTGCGGTTAGTTTCTGTCAAATTCGGCTCTGTCCCTACAGAAGCTTAAGGATCAATATTTTGAGAATGTATTTCATATCGAGCCTGATCATCTACTAGTTTTAAGCCAACTGTGAAAGCAGAATAGAGAGCAATTAAGATTAATATAAACAATTCTTCAAAAAAAATTAATATAAACAACTAAATCTGGAGTCAACCTATCAAATCAACTAAAAAAACTACACCAGACTTCTTAGACTCAGTCCAATCCAATCCTCAATAATTATTGTGCTATTATGTTATAATATATCCGAATTATTGTGAGTACTCATATGCATTCAAATTAATTTTAATTTCGGAATATATTGATGTCAGTGATTCGAAGAAATTTTGGCTAATTCTAACAGTCACATCACTAGCATGTTCCACCAGTGCAGTGGGCCACTGGCAATTGGTAAAAGAAGCTTTGAAGAAGAGTGTTTACCATTTAATTTTTACGACTTAGATCCACGAGATACTGAAAAAATCCAAATTTTTGTCTGTTTTTAAGCAAACATTAGCCAGATCCTTTTGGGGGAGGCAAATCACTCCCAACGTAGCACTCTTTTCCCTCTCCGAAAGGAATAAAGGGCATTTAACTATTAATCCACCTTAACGAAATTCTCTAATGTATCAATTCCGAGATGACGGATACCATGCCTACCAAAATTCCAACTATTGGATCTCTCAGCAGTCCTAACTCAACCATTAGGACAATCAAATAATGAAGTAGCTAGTGGTCGGTCACTAGTCACATATCCTTTACAAGCAAACAATTAATTTTGAAAAACGGGATTTCAACTTAAAAACATGTTTCTATTATTTATATTTAAATTAAAAAAAATATTATTTAGTTTTAGCTGTTAAATATTTGAAATAACTGAGTTTGCCACCAACCAGGGTCATTCACGTGTATCATGAAGATCTTATTTAATATTCAGCAAGCATTGAGCAAAGATGAAGCAAGTGTTTATGTCATGGTCCATCGATCATTGTCTTTTAGAATAAATGGAGACATCATGCAATAAAAGATACGTAAAATTATTGAAGGGAACCATATCCATATCAACATTACTCATTCAATATCGGTCATCAAGATAGGGGATGGGACCGGCATTGCTACCGACCCACGTCGGCTGTCTTCTTTACTGCTTCACGCCCTTCCTTCCTCACAATCATGGAGACAGACAGCCACTTGAAATTGAAGACAGTAATTCCATGAATGTAATTATCCAAGAACCAGTAAAGGAGTGAGAAAGATTGAGGCAGTCAGAAAAAAAGGGGACACATCTGCATGTGAAAATTTTTGCCTCAACTGGACAAGAAGGAACCTGTCACTTGGGTTGGGTTTAGTGACCAGGTGTACTATTACACAAGATCTTGTTGATTTACCATCAATGCTTTTGACATAGAGTAACATATTTTCCATCACAAAAGTCTTATGGATTCTACAACACTGTACCTGAGTGGAGGGAGATTGTTTTCTAATCCAAAATGTTATTAATTCCATTAGTCCTTCTCAGCAGAAACAGTAATAAGTTGATAATACAGCTGACCAAAGCCCAGGTTACACGAAGTTTCTAGCTGAGTTACTACAGCAAAACTTCCCAAGTTACTAACTAGCTGGGTCACAAACTCTTGATTTGTTAGTTGTGACAAACAAAAGAACTTCTAAGTCCTCAGCCAGACCACGTGGACTTCTTCAAAAAAATTGAGTGTGCACTTCCATTAAAAATTAAGGAAAAAGTCATAGAGAAGAATGCATGAAAATATAGCCAGAAGAGTTTATACATATAAGCATTTGAATACTTAAAAAAGAATGAAAAAAATATTTAGTGTTTTCCATTGGAAGAGAGAGCAGCTGACCAAAACCGAAGAAGGGGAAACACGAATTACTGGATCTGAGAAGTGAAGCATATCCTTGGCGCACCAGTAAGAACGATAATTAAAGCATGCAGGAATATACAGTTAAGACAAGAAGCATTGAGCAGAAACAATAAGGCACCAGTCCTGGGGACTACTGGAGTTCCTCTGTGCAATTCCACTCCAAAGCCTCCGTGTGTTAACTAAGTAAACATATAGGCTATCTTATTCTATGCTTGTATCAGAGTATTTTTCTTCTTCTCTATATTATTTGTTGTATTCAAGATTTCAGAGAGCACTTGTCGTCTTCTTCCAAATCACCAGTGATTTAAGAAACTCCATGACCTGGATTATTAAAAGGCAAAGGCATAATTAATTTCAAAATCCAACCGAGTCAAGAAATTAAAAGAGGAAAAGGCCAGTAATCCAAAAGGAATAACACACAAATCCATCCACTCGTTTTCTTAAATGCATTTTATTTCCCACACTCTTAAGGCCAAATATCCTTTGATGTTTTCTCCAAAGAAGAAATTGACACTCTTTTTGTGTGTGTGTGTGTGTACCCATCTCAGCATCAAGCATCTCTGATATTAGAAAGCAAAAATAACTTGTACCTCTTGTGGGTCCCTCAGGGAGAAAAATGCATTACTCTCTTTGGGCACGGATGAAACTAAAATGCCATATCCGCAATTTCCCTCTCTCAGAACCTGTTATAAACCAATTAACTTGATTCTGTAAATATTTTTTTTAATGCATAAAGAACTCTAAGGAATATCAATGTTAGTTGAATTATATCTTACCTTAAATGCATCTTCATCTGTCCGGTCATCTCCAACATAAATGGGAAGCACATTGTCACAATTGCTAAGCCCTAAAGCATTTTTTTTGTCACGATTTTAAGCACAGGGAATAATATATTCTCGTACCAAAAAAAAAAAAAAAAGATAGGTTAGAAAACATACTTACCAAGTGATTCAAGTAGAAATGTAACAGCTTTCCCCTTATCCCAGTTGATCACAGGCCGAACCTCTAAAACCTAATTATGCAAATTTTAAAATAAATGACAAAATATTTTAAATAACAAAAATAGAAAATTATGACATCCATATAGGCTATAGCACAAGCCACAAAAAAATAAATCAGTGAAAAAAAACAACAAAAGAAACATGTCTTTAAAGATCACCTTCCGCCCATGAGTCAATCGCAGACGAGGGTAGCTTCTAATGACCTTATTGACACATTGTGCAACCGTTGTCCAATTCTGAAAATAAATTAAAGTGCCCAGAAGTTAATACATTGTTATGTAAGGGAGATGGATATGGTATTCAGAATCATTACAAACAGATAAAAATAGAGGCTTCTAATGCTGAGGAAAAATACTACACCTTCTCATCTACATTGCGGTAATGAACGGAGACACAGAACTTATTGTTTTCAACTTTAGCTCCTTGAATTTCTTTGGTGTTGTTGACAAGTAAGTTAAAAACCTGCGGTGAATGAGAATTTTACATCAGAATAGAGAGGAAAAGGTCGGTGCAAGTATGGCACTCTGAAGAAATTTACATACCTCATCAATCATAGGTAAGAATTCACCAGCAGGCTGGAATAAATTAACTTCCTTGCCCTGCATTAAAGAGAAACAAGGAAAAAATAATTTAAGGATAGGAGGAGAGAAACACAGGATACCATGTAAAAAGATAGAAAATTTGCAGCCCAACCTGCTTATCGGTAGATCTAATGCAGTTAGAGTGATCATCAGAAAATTGCGTAACAGGACCCATGATGTCCATTCCATGACTTCCCGCGTAATAGAGATCCGTTAGTCCTACAAACTCGTATACCTGAATAAACAAGGGCATAGAACAAGATACTGTCAAGGTTCCCACCTAACAAACAGGCAATCAAACACATAAATAAACTAAATATTCTCAAGAAGGCAATTAAATATGTAAATATGTAAAACAGCGCCAAGGAAGAGGTCAAAATTATCCAAAAGCATGGTCCTCAAATCACCTTGTCGCGGCTTCTTCCACTAATTATTGCTGTTGGGAAGCATTTAGCAACTTTTTTTACAGCAGCTCGCATCTGAATAAAAGGTTTTGGTTAGTTTATGATCAAACAAGTGAGAACCTTGACTAAAAATTTCACAAATGATTTGTTAGACAAGCCACTCCTACATCGTTAGACATAAATGCACTATCCGGGTTGTCCACAATTGGTGAAAGAGTCCCATCATAATCCAGAAACAATGCTATTCTCTTGCCTTTTGCAAAATTTGTAATTTGCTCAAAAGATGTAAGTGCAGATGGATATTTAACCTATAAATCAGAGGATAAAATACATAGAACAGATCAATAACCTATCCAATGTATCAAAATTAAACTCAGAAAAGTAAAAGAGAAACAAGTACCATCCATGTCCGATATGCAACATCTGTATCAGCTGCTACGAGGTCATTGTTGAAATCCCTGGTTTTCTTATGAGGAGGTGATGAGGATTTCATAGCATCCAGGCTGCTGGCACGAATATCATCAAGAATTCCATTTTTCTTCCTGGGAACAGTTAGAAATAGATTTGGAGAGAACGCTCCTGAGGATGAGTATGGCAACAGACTGGAAGGTACTCCTAATCTTGACTTGCTTATTGGAGCAGAATCAGCAACAACAGGAGCAGTGTGGTTGGATTTCAGGTCCATTGGATCCAGCTTTGAATCACTACTTATATCGTAAAAGCTAACAGATTCCTTAGCAAACTATCCACTCAAGTGCAAAGAAACAAATCTTAATGTTTAATGTCAAATATTCTATTCAGCCAACCCTTTTATCAATGAAGAACCACCTCTTTAGAGCTTTCTTGTCACTGCTGTTTGGCAAGCAGTCCATCAAGCATAAGGACCCTGAATACTGATATCAAAAGAAAATGTTAGAATCAACAAAATGAAGCTCAAGATCACAATTTTTTTTCAAAAGAGACAGATATCGGAACTGAACCTGTTCATATCTCTTGGTTACTCTGCTTAAAACTGATGTGCATAAACAATATCTGCAGATTATAGATTTCAGAAGTATGATTAATGTACAGATCCAGAATAACATCCATCAAGAGTGAGAATGAAATAATGGCCAACAAATGCTGAACCACTAAACAAATTTCACAAAATAAGGAAGGCATGGTATGAAATATGCCTCACCAAACAATTAACTTCAGAAAACCAGAAGGTGGAGCAGAAGAGTAGCAGGACAAAAAAATTCTTTTGACAGTATCAAATATGTGTAATAGGAAGCGCTTGGAAGATGAAAATGAGCAAAGATGACATACAAATGAAAACCATCAGCTCAGATGAACTAAACCCATTTTGAAAGGAGGGGAAAATCATCTCAGTGAGAACAACAAGTGATATCTGACAAACAACTTGCTAGGACAAGGAACTTTATAAGCATGAAAATTTTCCAAAGGAACATTGAAGCATTACCAGGAAATGCAATAAATTCCACACAGACTTAGATTCCTTTTAAAGTTCAGTCCTATTCTTACCAGACAAACTTAATTTGCAAAGTGATAAAGTGTTGGACACTAACACTAAACAATGACTTGTGCTATTATCTTTCTTTTTAAACAACTGGACTATATATTTACACAAAATTCTTCTAAAATATCAAAATAAAGTTGTATGTATCTAGGTAGACCCCGATTCTGTTAATTCAAGACACATTGTTGCCAATGAATATACTTACTCAGTTAATCCTAGTGATCTATAAAAAAAAACAAAAACAAACAATTTTTTTCCTTTAAAAACGCCACTACAAGAAATTTGACATCACTAACATCATGAACTAAAAAAGTAAACAATAATACCACCATCATGAAATGACTGGAAAGCGAACATCTGTAACTGTAGGGAAAAAGGATCAACAATCACCTACATCATGCTCAAACTAAGCATGCGAAAGACAGCAAAGCCTGAATATACATGAAAAAAAGAAAAAAAAATGAAATAGAAGTATTCATTCATAAATAAAACTAGCCCACAAAAAAAAAAAAAAAACTGATATCTGGTAGAGAAAAATATAAGAAAATGTTAGTTGTCTTAATAAAAAGCTATCTTGCCCCCACAAAGTGGAGAGGGAAACCACGTTAAACGCAACCACACATAACTGGCCTACAGTGAAGTATGGGAAAAACATTAAAATACAATGGACCCCAGCCCAAGCATATAAAAGATTAACTGATTGAATTAAATCATTATGGGAAAACCAAAAATTGAAATTTCAGGTTCCACCATACTTATGTTGCTATCATACATTCCATGCATCAGCATCAAAATTACCACAAAAAGCATTAAAGTATATCCAAAATCAGTAACTTGTTATCATTGTTTAACCAGCAGGGTTAAGGAAACTACCGGAGAATTAATAGTTTTTTCTCTTTTTTTTTTTTGTGAAAATTTGAAGATTCAACTATTGAAAAATACGACTTTGACAAGGCGAATTTTGATTATAACTTGCAAGTGAACAGTTGGTATTGAGCCATTCATATAATAGGTAGAGAGGTTGACAATACAGCTACAATTTTCTTTTATATATATAAACGAAAAAAAAAAAATCAGAGATGAAAACAGAGGGAATATCACATCAGCCTAAGCCAACACAGCTATAAGGGGCAGACAAATTGGAATAGACATTGACAACATCCGTTATGCGGTTAAGGAAAAAAACCGAAAAAACTGAACTAACCAATCATGTAACGATCGGTCAAATTTCTTTTTTTTTTTTTTAAATGTATATATCTACTCAAAGAAACAACAATGGAACCATTAGGAAATTGATTTTGAGAAGAAAAAAATCAAAATCTTGAAGAAAACAGAACAGAAAACAACTCAAATTTTAAAAAAGAGGAAAAAAAAAAAGGTATTTGAAAATTATGACATCCACATAAAATCTTCAATTAAAAACTGCTATAACTGTTAGAAAATTAAACTGGAAAAAATCCTGTAAATAGCAGAGATTTGCCTATTCATCAGATTAAGAAAGCAAAAGAACTTAATCGAGCTTTGAACAAGAGCCAGTCAACGGAACGGTATTACGTACCAAAGCAAACAGCTTTTGGAAAAGAATAAAAAAAGCGCACTTAGTTTAGAAACCTCGAAATCAAACAGCGACGAAGAAAAGAAGTTAACCAAACGCGAAACAGAAACGCCGCTCGAGAAATGCAGGTAACTTCCAGGACAAAAGAGAAAACTAATGAACCAAACGGTTAATGCACCATTTCCTTGTTCAATAAGTGAAAGAAAGCCCCAGAGTAAAATATATAAACAAAAGAAAACGAAATTGGCAACGCCGTAATGAACTAAACTACTCGGCGGCAAAAAAGAAAGAGAAGCAAAGAAAATGTGAGTTAACGAGGTGAGGGAGAGGGAGAAGATTATAATCACCTGCAGAGGAGAAGAAATCGCAGAGAACGAGAACGAGAATCAAGCTAAAAATCGTATAATACCAAATCGATGCTCAACTCAGAGGAGAGATAAAAAGAAAACAAGAAAAAGAAGGGAAAAGGCTTTTTATAGCGTTGGATATTTATAGAGTTTCGGTTTCGACGAAACTTTGATTATAAAGCAAACTCTCGGTTGTTGAATCAGGAAACAAACCGAAAAATATAAGAGAAAACACCTTCTGTATGGACTTTCCCCACTCTCCGTCTTTGTATGTAAACTTCACGAGCGAGTAGATGGGAGGGAAAAAGAATGCGAGGCGCGTGATTTTTTATGTTTTGCTAAATTATTTAGTCGTATATAACCGGAGAACCAGAAATTTTTTATTTATATAATTCGGTAGATTAGTAGCTAAAATTTTAGTTTTAGGCCAAAGGAAAGGGTGGGGGCCACAAGGGATCCTGGGGACACGTGGAGAGAAGACTTTGCGGCCAATGCGCGTGTTGACACCTGTGATCGGGTTGTGTCTGACGTGGCCACGTTGGAAAGCGGGGCCCGGCGCAGAACTACTGGACGTGTTGTGAGCGTGTCGTCATTTTCAGTCACGATTGGGTGGTCGTCGGTCCGTAACGGTCGTTGCTTGAATTATGGCCAAACAGGTGGCCTATCGTGGCAGGACATGGGTCTTTGGGGGACGCACATCATCTAAGAAAGCTTGGCAGTTTGAGAACTAATTTGGCAATCAACCTTTTTTGTGCACCAATATTGTATTGAATTTGTACCCCATAAAGGCAATCCATGTGGCAATGACGTGGGCCTCTTGTGGCACGTGTTGCTTCTAGCTTCGCTCATAATTATTTCTTTAATTTTTCGTTTATCATTTTTAATTAAAAAATTTAATTACAATAACTTTAATGGTGCATAATAAAATATTAAGTTAAAATAAAAAAATAATTATATTTTATTATTTTATGCATTTAAATAAATTTTTAATTTGTATATGAATAAATTCTGTTGATAATAATATTTTGGATAGGTGACTGCATACTTTGCTAGAGGTTAGTTGAAAGTTGATCATAAGATTAGAGTGATTTATGAGAGAAGAAAACAATCGGAGAGCGTTCATGGTAAGATTTCGAGAGGCACTTCCATACTTTAGTTAGTAAGTGAATAAAGATAAAAGTAGATTGGAGCTGATATAGTCAACCAGTAGCTGGTTGGTGCTAACATGGCCAATTAGTTTATTTGTCGTTGATTGAGCGTTGGGCCAGTTAAGTTGGTTGTCTACTTGGCGGTCCATTGTTATTGACTTGGTTGATCAATTATTTGGTTGGTGAGTGTTGATTTGGCAACAAAAGTATTGATTGGACGATCAAAATACAGTAATTTTTTAATTTTAATTTATACTCAAATAATTTTTTTTTAATTTTGATTTATATTTAAATAAATATTTAACATAATTAAATTTTATTTAAAATAAAATTTTTTTGAGAACTAATCAAAGGATTAGAATTTATTAAAAATAATAAAATTATAAAGGCTTCTTTGAAAAAGTGAAATAGTAGAATTTTTTATATATGCTTAGGCAAAATGTCACTAGTAAGATTTTTTTTCTTCTAAAATTAAACGCAAAAGGAGTTAAATTTTATAACAATTACAACCGTAGGTGTCAACCAAACAACATATAGTACACAGCTAAACTTTCATTAGTCAAAGCAATTGACAAAGATATAGAAAACGTACATAAAATTTTAAAATTGTGAATAATAAGTACCAAAGGTTTCCTTTGCAGTTGGAGATGGTAATTTAGTTTTTAATTGTTTACCAGGTCAAAGATGCTGACAAGAAAAACCAAAATAGAAAGCTAAATTAAGAATATAACCAAATTAAGCTGAGTTAATATAATGAGAATTTTAAGTTTCAGCTAAATTTAACTTAAAATTTAATATTTAAAACTCAATTTAAATTTGATTTTGTTTTAATTTTTAAATTTAAGTTCAACTTAAAATAAAAATTATTTAAATTTATTCAATTACAATCATTTATCGAATAAAAAATAGGATTGAATTTCATGCTGGACTTTTAATTCAATTAGTTATGCTTAAATTCTAATTTAAATTGATATATATAAATAAAATAATAAATTTTTAATAAAATAATAAAATATTTATTAAAATATAAATATTCAATTAAATTCATGAATTATACTCTTTTAGTATTAAAATTATCAAACTCAATTCGTTTGATTTATCGAATTATTTGAATTAGAGATCAATTTGAATTTAAATTTTATTTGAGTCTATTTTAAATAATTTATAAATATTGATATATTATTTGTATTTTTAAATTATATTATATTAATTTATAAAAAATTTAAAAAATAATAATTCAAGCAGAAGAACAGGAAAGGAGAGAATTGGGGTTTTCAAGGTCGATGGCGGGGCGGTCCAGGCAGGCAGACAGGCAGAAGGGTCATGCCAATGGTTTTTTTTTTTTGCATCTTTAGGAAATCGGAACTCCAAAATGGAATCTTCCTTTTCAACGCCGTTGTTTGTGGTGAGTTTGACCATCCAGTTGCCATTCATATAATTCTATAACTATTTTATTTTATTTTTAGCAAATATTACTTCATTTTGGTGTTCTGATTTTCTAACTCAGCACAACATATTCCAAATCTTATGGCGACAAATTTCTTGGTAAAAGTAGTTTATAATAATCATTGCAAAATAAACTCACATTTCCCTTGCAAAATTAATATAAATGGACACGTTTCTCCATGGAGTAATGAAATTTTTATATTTTATTTGTTTAGTAACGAAAAGGTTACTTGATGCTGATGTTACAACAATTTTCTCAGTCAAAAGTAATGTGAGTGATCATTACAAATTCATCTCCACGTTTTTCTGCCAAATTGATTTCATTTGCATTGTATTTGGTAAGTGGAAAGAGGGTGGAAAAATTATTATTTATTATTTTGTCTGTTAGAAGAAAAATAAAAAAAGGAAAATGAATATATTTTTTTAATTGCATGTCTTTCAAATGTAAAAGAAAAGCATTTATTTAATTTAGACTAAAAGTAAAATGTTCCTAATTGTATTTGGTAAATAACTCAATAACTCATACTACAATTAACTTGATAGTATTTGGTAACCCAGAGTTTCTTGGAGGAAAAGTATGGAAGGGCGGTGGAAGGCATTGACCTTTATTTTTTTTTTTCTTGTTTTTCTTCCGGGGACTTTTTATGTTTTCAAAATTACTAGTTTCTGAAGCTCGCCAACCATACTACAAATAGACTACAGTAAATTCAACTGAGTCCATCAACCTCTGCTACTACTTTCAGCAATCAGCGGCAACAAATTGAAGAAAAACATGCATTTTCACATGGAAAAGAGTTCTGAAATTTTCTTGTAAAAATCACTATTACTATTAGTAGTAATTAATTACACTAAGATTCTAACAGGAAAAATTGGTCGCTATGTATTTTTCCTCCATTTTTTTAGGAGTAATGTAAAAACTAGCACAAATCAGAATTCAAAACTTCCTATCAAAATTATTTAGCAGTAGTAGTTGTTGTTTATTTTTATATATTTTCTGTCATTTTCGTCGTTTTTGTGATGATTTGCCCTCACCGTCATCATTGTCGTCACCATCGACATCAACACCAGCAGCATAATCATCAGTTGTTTAATTTGCATGACAAAAACAGCAGTTGGCCTTTTATGTTAACTAATCGGCGTAGATTGATAGTTGATGGCATGGCGAAGGGCCGCTGAAGCGAGCAAATTGGTATATAAATGATACTCCAATCATGTTTTCCAACAGTTGACCATTGTAATAACAATGAACCAAGCTCCACTGTTTTCGAATCCCATCGGTTAATCACCACTTAATTAGCCTATGACTGCGCCAACCCTAATACCAATATTTTTGCCAATTAAGCTGAAATCTTAGTTCCCAAGTAATCGACATTGTTTGACTTAGACATACATTGTTTATTGGTGCCACGTCAATGTAGAATCTGAACTGAATCTTCCAAGTTAACGGGGTAGCTTGTCGGTGGGGACAAGACAATCTTCCCGGACAGTGATTAGTTTTCTTACCTAACATGATTATAGAAAATTAAGTAAATCGCTGTCATTACTCTTTTCAGACTAAACCAAATTAAAGTAGTAATTCTAAGCAATACAACATTTAATCAACGCTTGTGATTGATTTCCAGCTTTAAAATTTAGCTCCCATACTTTCCAGGTTGCTTCTTGTACCAGAAATTCAATGGTAGTGGGCCAATTTTAAAAGCAGAAAGTAACAATAAAAAAAATAATAAAAGATTAGCTAAGAAAGTAATTATAGAGATTCTGTAAAATTATCACAAGAACTATCAATTGCTTTATTTAATTTAATACAAAATTATTACAATAAATAATTGATTTTATAAAATGCTTATTTAAGTGTTTTAAGTAACAAAATAAAAAATTAAATAAATGAAAGTTGAAGGAGTTTTATTCGGTTTAACAGCAGTAGGTGTGCCTTGTGAGTTTTATACCAATGAATGAATTCATCATTCATTTGTTCATCCACGAAGCTTCTTCAACATTTAGTAAAAGGTCATGGGTGAACCATTGTACCAAGTCTTTAGTCTTGATTTTGAAAAGTAGCAACTAGTATATTAATGTGAGGGACACTGGGGCCTGAGCCAGTCTCTTTTCCACCCAGGGAACTTTCAGAGGTAAGAGCTAAGATCCTGGAAATTTTCTTTTTCAAACTTCACTTTTTGTGTCATCGCATGTGTTGCAATTAGTTTAGAATATTTTTGGCTCTTTAAAAGTCCCTTTACTCGGTCTGTAGAAGGTTAGTTAGTGCTGAACTAGTAATCAAATAAAACCCATTCGCTTACCCATTCGCTTGTTTTCGTCAAGCTTGTTGTCAACAACTAGGTTGAAGAAGTCGATCACTTTACCTAGATTCATTTCAGAAGTTTGGACATGTAAAATGGGCAGATGAAGCCCTTACACCTTGACAAGCCCAAAGAACTGCGGACACCAGATGCCTTGGACCATGAGTGACACTTATGCAACTTTCACCTCGTTGCTTCCCAAATCCTATTCTCCCATCCATCTCTATATTTTTTTAAGGTGTTCTTAAACCTTAACACCCTTACAGATCTTGCTTTGTTTTTTTGGCTGTGATTGTTCTGAAGGAAAAGAGGAAAGAACAATTATTTAAGTTACATTACTTCTAAAAAATAAGTGAGTAAAGTAAATTCATTCGTCCAAAAGAAACCGGTTATAACTCATTATAATAATGATACAAATTGTTTAGAACTGCGTCCCAAGGAGTAAGAACATCCAAGATTGTGAATGTAGCCTTTACAGGCTAATCGAAGAAGGATTAGACCAAAGGAATTTCCTTCACAGTTTCTTTTGCATATGCTAATTGAGTTTAACTGCCAACAAAGGCTTTTATGTATACGTGAAGTCTGCAAGAGTCGAGCCTTCTCCCATATTAAATTTGTAAGCCTAAAAGAGATGATCGCTTCTCCCCTCTTAATCATGGGCAACATCTGTTGTTCTAAATAATAGCAAGGGCCCATATTTTTTTATTCTTGTTAAGGTGCTTAAGCGATCAAGAAGAGCTAACCAGGCTATAAACGACGTTTTTAGGGCTGTGCCGTTGTTTTATTAAAATCAAATAAGTTTGTGCCAACCATCCTTCAGTTTCTAATCAAATAAGTTTGTGCCAACCAACCTTCAGTTTCTAGTCCCTAGTCCATTTTAAAGTATCAGAAGAGCTTTATACTGACCAGAATTTGAAGGCATAACGGTTTATACGTCTTCCTCTTGTTAATCAGTCAGGCTCAGGCTCATACATTCGCAGTAGTGGAACAAGAAAGCAGAAGCATAACTAATAGATAAAAAAGAGAACTGAGCTCTTGCTTAAATGTTAAAAACAAGTACCAGCATTTTCAAAAGATGGAACAAACAAGTCGAAGATGTTCATGCAGAACATAAGTGCCACTTAAGATAGACAGAGGCAAACAGAAATTTCAGGTCCATACGTCATAAACAAAGCTGCATTCTTCCAAACATCAGACTGGCAAAGAACCCATAAAAATGGACGATTTTGTCATGTTACAACATTTTTACAAGAATGCCTCAAACAGCAGTAGCGTTCTCTTCACTCTCAAACATTTCAACAACCTGTGCCACGCCCTCAGCAATTTCTTTCTGGATGACGCCATCTGGCATGTCAAACGTCCTCCTCCTCATTGACAGTGATTTCCCTGGGGGCTGAGGATCCACCACATCAAGCATTGCTTCCAGTTCATCTACCATTGACTTCTTTGCGGCTCTCACCATTAGATCTGCTCCCTAATAAATATATGATACAACACAGCACATCCAATTCAAATTGGTTAACACTTCCCAATGACATTCACGTTGACTGCTAAGTTGTATTTGTATAACTTCAAAGAATAGATGAGAATCCAAAATCATACTGAAATGAGCTCAGATACTGAGACATCCTATCCTGATAGCATTCCATCTCTAATAAAAGACTTAGTTTTCCAGAAGGTTCTTTATTGAAAAAATATATATGAGATGATTTCAAATGCATTTTGTCCATTCAAAAAAATTTATTCTCTGCAGGTTCATAACAACTTTGGCATTGATAGATAGCATTCTCTGGACAGCTTATACTTGACACATTAATGATTATAACATTGGCGGTAATAACTTAATGCAACAGATTGTGGGGTTATTTTCATTCATTTGGCAAACTATAATCGAATCTATCTTTAAAAATAACATGATAATTCCATGAACTTTACTAAATCTTTCTTTTACCATAGTTCGGCAGTGGAAGCCTGTTCGTCAAACAGTTAAGAGTTTGACATCATTAACTGCATGGTCTGGTTCTTCAGCATACCATCATATTACATGCACCAACATTTAGGGGTAAGTGTAATTTGTAATGACTGTCATAACTCATAAGTACTATTGATAAGCAAAAAGAGAAACATATGCCAATTACATGATCCAAAAACATTGTAACTGATTAAATTGTCATAAGATGTGCATAGGTGAAGATATAATATACTTCAAAGCAATATACAGACAGATTAAAATGAAAATCCAAAGAGAGAGATAATGTACCTCAATGGCATCAACAGTAAGGAGCAGGACAATGATTTTCTCAGAGAACCTTTGACGTTCTTCTGCATCCTGGGCTACTTGACGACGGTAGGAGAAGTTATTAAAATATGCTCTGATCTCTTTCAGCTTAGACTTGGCAACTGCCAACTCCCTAAGGGCACGAAGAGCCTGTGATCTTCGAATCAGATAAGCTCTGAACGTTACTTGGATCATCAAAGCAGCATCCTGTGGCGACAATTCCTTCTTCTTGCCCCTTTTATTTCTAATAACACCAGCTCTTTTAGCAAAAGCCTATCATCAAAACAGAGAAGTCAGAACCTAAGTATAAATGAAATGCTTCTAGGTATACTCGAACTAAATTTGCGAACGCTATTTCCAATGAAAACATAGGATTTGATTCGGGCATGTCTACATTGCAAGTCATTAATGAAGAAGTTTTTAGAGCTTGAACATTATATACTTAACATTCATGACTCAAAATTCACATACAACCCTTGATAGCAAATAATTCTACTTGGACAAAAATTAATTGATTATAGTTGCAAGCATCCACAGTTGAGCAAATGATCGAGACAGTATATTAATTGGGTTCCAAAATGTCATTGTAATGAGAAGGTAAGATAAGACATCAATTCATTTCCTCATATAAAATGTTGGATTTTATTGGTGGATCATTAAAGGGGACAGCTATTAGTCAAAACGCTAATAAAAATAAAATTGTCGTTTTGAGGGTTCGGTCAAAAAGAATTTAAACACCATAATCTTGATAGAGACAACGCAATTCATCATTACAAACTCAAACCAACCAAACTAAACTAAATTATTAATCTAACAGAAGGTCAAAAATGTAATCAAACCTGTCTTAGAACGACAACACCATGATCAGACGGCTCTTCGATCTCTACTATACGCGTGTCATTCCCTCCTTTCTTGTCCTTTTTATGATGCTTCTTCTCATTGTTTTCCTTTTTCTCCGATTTGCTAAATTCACCTGCATCGCCAGCCGACGCTGTGAACGTGTATTTCTTCGAGATAGGCCCATCAATTCCCTTCCCTTCAATCTCAGCCGACCATTTATACTTCTTCTCTTTCTCCTCAGCTTTTTTCTTCCCATCCTTGATCTCCGCCACCCATTTGTACTTCCTCTCAACCGGCCCCTTGATCTCCGCCATCCACGTGTACTTCCTGTCCCCTCCGCCGATCCTCGCGCTAACGAGACGGTCGAAGTTGGACTCCAGCGCTGTAACTCGGTCACACAAGGTTTGTATAGAAAACTCAGGCTCGACTCGGCGTTGTACCCTCCTGTATGAGCAGAACGACGGCATTTTCTCAATTTGGACCAGATCGGTGACGCTGTCGTAGATTTCTAAAGGGCTAAAGCAAGTTAAAGGATTCAGTACGTCGAGGGCAAAGCTAAGATTATGTTCCTCTTCGAACAATGAGGGAAAAGCTAAGGGCATGGGAGCGAAAAAGGAGGTTTCATTAACAAAGAGAGATGGAGAGTAATAACGGTCGAGGATGTCGATTCTCCTGAAACGGCTCATCATTGATGAAATCGTTGGCACCGTGAACTCTGTGAATCAGATTCTGGAAAAAAAGATTGGGCTAGGGTTTTGGTTAAAAAGGCAAATCCCTTGATCAATCTTTATGAGGATGGAAAGCAAAAAGGACAAATTTGTGTAGTGAACGAGGAGGGCAAAAGGTGGCAGATAGTCAAAAAGGTAGCAGGTGATGGTAGATTTGGGAATTCAGGTGGTGAAAACAGCTGTGAGGAACGAATCATTCCAATTTGGTAATAGATAAGAACTGAACAAGGTTTCGCCGCATCTTTAAGGGTCGAGAATGGACGGAAATAGGCATGAGGATGGTGAAGAATTACGGGGACACGGGAATCTGATAAACGAGCACTGGTGCAGGGCATGTGGGTTCACTGTAATATCTGACCCCTCGTGACGTGACTCACTCTGCTCAACTGAGGTTTGGGCTTTGTTTTCATGGCAGCTGTTGGGTTTCCGCCCTAATAAGCCCAAATTTATCCCTAAACGTGGGCCAATTGAGAAAACAATGCAACTTCGGCTAATAATGTAAATAAATAGGGAGAGTAATTGATGAATTAAAATAGGTTTGTTTTTGTTCTTTGAACATATTATGCACTACCTAATAATATTTTATAAAAATTAATTTTAATATTTTAAAAACAAATACACTTAATATTAAAAATATATTTAAAATTATTTTTTAATAAAATGTCTAGTTCACTTAGCATGTATACCTTATACAAGTGCATCAAATATAAATTGTTTAATCACAAAACAAAGTCTAGGAAGTGTAAGATTTACAAACCCAAACTAGTGTAGCATCATTAATTTCTAATAATAAGGGCATGGAATGGATGAAGAAACTTGGCTCAAGGGCAGTGTGGAGAACAAATGCCATCGACAGTAAATTGAAGGCGAACTTAAGATCATGCCACCAGCTTCCTCATCCATTCCAGGGTCTTTATTCTTATATATAATACAAGATAAATACAAGAGTTTGAATTGGTTTAATGCTTTAATTATCCGTTGAAGATTCAAAATCTCGTGTCCATCCTACGTAGAAATCATGTTTAAACCACCCTCACAAAACTATTTTAAGATCAAGACCACAATACCTAAGTAGGAGTAATTAGGCAAAACTATAATCACTGCCACTAGCATAACAATGAAAGCAGCAAGACAATCTTACTATCAAAAAAGCCATGCAACAAAACCATACCGAGCAGCACTACCCCGCTTGAGAATGTCCCTCTCTTCTTTTCTCATCATGCTTCTGATCCCTGCCTCAACCCAAACTCTTTCCTCTTTTTTGTCATTTTTCTATCTCTGCCTCAATAACTCTTAGTGCTCTCAAGGTTCTCCACAGACACAGGAACCTTCCTTTCTTCATCATCAAAACCTTTCAAATATACACTTCCAAATCCAGACCATCAAAACTCATCAACTCTTTGTAGAAGCCTCAGCTACTTGTTCCACATCAGCCAAACTCAGAAGAACCCTCGGCTGCCTCGCCATCATCATTGAGGCAGGACTCTGTAGAAGAACACGTTGAACCCTTTTCAACATGCAGGTCAGGGGCTGAAGTTTGAAAAGCATCCCTTTCCTGAAATGCAACCTCCAGTTCTAACGAAATTTAATTGAGCGATATGTTGCAAGTGGTAAAGCTTTCTTGGGCGAGAAGCGATTTCGGTAGACAACAGATTTTTCGAGAACAGGAATCATTGTTGGATGTCTTGGGAGTCTCTAGTGGAAGAGAAACCACTTGGTTGAGTTCGGATTCCAGTTCTTTCAGTTTCTTCCGCAAAACTCCGTATCTTTTCGTCATCCTTTGAATATAAGAGTTTTCAATGATTGAGTGGGTGAAATTAAGGGGAAATTGTGTGAAGTGTGAGCAATTAATGCATGATAAAGATAAAAATTAAAAGCACGTATATACGGTATAGTTACGTTTTTGAATTATGCTGGTTGCAGATGGGCGATGACTCACAAGAGTCATACTCAAATCATGTTAAACCTTTAGATGTGATTATCAAAAAAAAAAAAAAAAGAAACAAATTATGTAAGCAGAGTTTTTCTTTTCAGAGGTAGGGCACTTAGTTTTTGTAGGTACTGTTGGCTTAGTTAACTTCTAAATGTCATACTATTGTTTATATAAGATTAACGCCTAGAACAGTACGTTAGATGTTGAGAGAAAAAAAAAAAGTCATTATTAAGAATATCTTTGATTTATTTGCCAGTATGGTATCTTTGTTATTAAAAAATGAAGTTTAAGCAATATTTTAAAATTTTATTGCACATTAAATTTTTAAATTTCATAAATAAAGTTAGTAAAATATAGGTGCTGTTAAAATATATTTAAAAAATTAAAAATAATTAAAAAAATGCAATAATTTTTAATCTAATTTGTAAAATTTAAAAATTACAAATGAATAAAAAAATAACTTTATTATAAGATATATTTCACGTGCCAGCAGGATTGGTACATCTTTCCAAAATTTACTTGACGCTTATTTGGAGGAGATTGCGGCGCGCGACATTGGCAACTGGGCCCATTGCAGTTTACAATGAGATCTTCTACTTGGGATAGTTTTTCCTTGTAAGAAGTTGTTGTTTAATTCAAACAAACTGCTCAAAACTTAATTAATTTCTAAAGCATTTCCATTTGTCCTTGATTTTTGTTATAGGATGTTCTCAGCATGTTAGATTTTTCTTAACGGGAGACATTCTTGAAATGGTAGCATTAATCCTTTGTCTTGGTCTCCAAAGTGGGCAGCCTAAGTTAAACCCTATGCTTTTACTTGCTACTTAATCTTTGAATTTGTGAAAAAAAAAAAATACCTCGTGACTAGATTAATAGGGATTATAAATTAGATGATCTTAAGTCAATTAATGGGGATTATAAATTTGTGAAGAAGACTTACAGATAAATTTCCCCAGTACTTCTGGGTAGACAATGCTTGCTAGTGGGGCAGTCTCGGTAAAAACAGTTACATGGATTCCCATTGAGCTCTAGGATTAATATGTATTTTAGTACTTGCTATAGCCAATTAAATAAATTTGAACTCTTCTTCGGATGAAACAGATTATATGAGCTGCTTTGTTTGAAGAAAAATAAATGTTTTATGGTATTATTTATTTAGGACAAAATATATAGATATTAATATTGAATTGTTGCTTCTGTTTCCATGAAAATTAACATTGACTCATCACCCCCTGTTTTCAGCACTTATAGTCATGATTTTTGGTCGTAGTTTTATAGTTTTATAAGATCACACGCGCACACACACACATACATATATATATATATATATATATAAAAGTCTGAAAGTGATGAAGATTATTGCCACGCATCACAAAACAATATTTATAGGGCTTCAATCAGTTGTAGGCTTTCAAAAGGAGAAAAGTTACATATATTTTCATGATTGGCAAATAATTAAGCCATAGATAGGACGACCAAAAACTGCTCAATATATCACCTGCTAAACTTACAGCTTATTGTTCATTAGCGCCATGACCTAGCTAGCTAGCTCTACAGGTTACCATCTGTGAAAACCATATCAAAGGAGAGGGGAAAAAAAATTAAATTCCGCTCAGAAACTATGGAGTGATTATATTATTAATCAGTTTGGTGGCTCATGTTCAGGTTAGTCTATTGTCAATAGGTGGTTTCTGATGTGGTGAATCATAATCTGTCAGCTGATAAGCTTTGTTATCTGATCTATCTTCTTTAACATGAGATTCAGAACCATGCTCTACAACTTCAATGGATAGCCCTCGCCTCCTTGAGTCCTACATGACATAAATCAACATATGCATGTGAGTGAATTCTTTACATGTCATATATACGGATATTATTATTGGTATAATTTTGAGAAAGAAATATGGAATTATGGATTGCGTTTAATTATAATAATATCAATTTAAATTGAATACCCAAATTTAAACAATTGAAAATGCAACGGAGAGTATTTAACTATATATATATATATATTTTTTTTTTAGTTTGAAAACTTAATTAATGTTTGAAATTGTAATTCTGATCAATATCCTTTGCATCATTTTCAAAATATCAAATAATTGACACGAATGATTATGAAACTAATTGACACTTTGCTTCATTTTTTTCGTTCAAAAATCTTCGTGGATGTGACGATGAAATGGACCAGTACATAGATAATTTTATGGATGCGTAAGACCAATCGCTGGCTCTTGTCAATTGTTTGGGTGAAAAGAAGCATAAAACTTGGAAGTAGTTTACTATTCCTAAACCATTGAAAACCAAACATACAAGCATATATAATTGCACTATTATTTACCTCTATGCTTGTTGCCCAAAGCAAACCCACTTGAGTAAAGGGCTTAAAATTCTCAGTTCCTGCATTTTCCATCCCTATCAGTGCTGAATAATATTTGGAGGATTAATAATGATATTTAAGATCCAAAAGAAGAAAATAAGATACACAAAAAATATTGGTTTTAGTATTAAGTTGATGAGCATGCAAGAGCTAGGGCACTATTCCTCTAATTTGTATTAGATATAGGAGAAGATCATTAGCAAGCAAACAATATACAGAGAGCAAAAGCTAGCTACAAATAATTGGCCTCATATATTAGTTATATAAGAATCAAGGCAGCTGTTCAAGCTTAAAACCCATGAAAATATATGTTTTTCTAAGATCGATGGACACTTCAATTGTGAGAAGGAGGGCGTGTTCTGGGTCTAGAATAATCAGAGAATAACCCAGTACGTTCATCCAAGTTCTTGCGGGGCACACGTCCAGAAACTGATACAAGAGGCTTGACCGGAACAGGAGCAGCTGAGATATCTCTTTTTGGTTTCATTAATTCCCTGTGGAGGCTGTCCGAGTCTTTTGGCTTCACGACATGACTGTCATGGAAAACAATGTCATCCCCGCTAGTCCCTTCATCATGAACTGATATTGTGTCGTCCCTGTTGAGCTGTTTAACACTTTCCAAAGCCTACATAAACAAAAATGTACGTAGAAGTTAATTACCAAATATTTGGCGATATATTATGTTTGAAAACATAGAATATTTAGAGAAGCAATTAAGGTTTACCTTGTTAGATAAAGGAAGTTTTTTATGGGAAGCATTATTATTGTGGTCGATGAGTACTCCTAGATCCCGTGCATTACATGCATGCATGGGAAGGCACAAGAAGAAGATGAGTAGAGACGATATGATGATGGACATGACTGGAAGAAGAGATCACTAATTAATTAAATTTTTGTAAGGGTAACTAGAGATAGGAGCAAATAAGAAAAAGAGAAGAGAAGATTGAATGAATGAATATTGGAGTATCAGCTGCGAGTATACAGTAGAATGTAGCTATATAGTAGTATGTGAATTAAAATGGCAAACTTTATTGAATTAAAAGCAGGTTCTGTTGAGGGACAAAAGAGGCTGTTCAAGAACATGCAAGATAGCTAGAGAGGGGACTAGAGCAAGATGAAGTAGACATGGCCTCGCTTTGTCCCCTTTAAAAAACAAAAATGGATCATCCAGTTGGGGCCCCTTTCTAAAAGATTGACCCTTTAATTACCCTATCAAAGGGGCCGGAGAGTTAGAGGGCAGCAACTTTTCCTGTGAGTATAAATATTTTCAGAGATGTGATATATAAACACAATTAAACAGCAGGCTAGTGATTTGTGAAGCAAAATTGTAGAACACGAGGGATTGTAGTAAAAAAGGGCACAGTAAGTATTTCAAGGGGGCCAAAAACCGCGTCCACAAGTGAGAAGAGCCAAAAACAAAGAGAAGAAACTAATGGAGGATTACAATTCACAATGCAAGAGAGCTGCCTGTTTACATTTTCCCATATCGAATAACTCCAATTCTTGTCGCCTGATTTCATGCTTTGTCACCCCGTGTTTGTTGCTGTTTCTCAACTTTGACAACAATTTACCAAAAAACATTATTTTATTTTATTTTATACAATATATGTACCAAAAACTTTTCAACTGTAACAATCCCCGCATCTTGGGTCAATATAACTATCTTTATACTTAACAAAAACATGCGAACCTGTCGAGTTTAATTTAGTAGCCTTCCCTGTATCCAATATAAATAACTTTATGGTGCTAAGCTATATATCTAGTTATTGAGAAAGGAAAAAGACAAGAGACTACATATTCATGTCCTACGGCCTAGGGAAACTTTGCAAGGACCATCCTAGTAAATACTTTCCGAATGTTTGATCAATTGTCATGAATTTACAATGATTTAACTAACAGAAATTGTTACTATATGTTAATAGTAATTGAGCTTAGTCATTTCAAAAACCGTAATTATAAAAGATAGGAAAACTTTTTTTTTTTCCGGGTGTGCCGTGAAATAGTCACTTAACAATGACGATGAATTAAATAAATTTCAGTAAAGGCAAAATTAAAAGTTTCTTAAACTTAAAAATAATAATACAAAAGTTTTAGAACTTAAGAGAGGGTAGCTGCTCCACTGCCAGTCTGCCACCATTGTACCACAATCCGTCTCCCTTTTTCTGGCTTGAAACGAGGGATTAAAACGACGGAGCGAACAGCAACCTGATCGGTAACCACCTATATGTAGAAACTTTATTTTTCAATGGAAAACAACTACAACTATACTATTTTTCACCTCCTGATCTTTTACATAATAACATCTGATTGAGCAACCTTGACTTTATATACAGAGAAGGAACAACAATCAGAATATTTGTAGGAAAATAACAAATTTTATTGGAGTAAACAATCTGTATTAATTCAACAGCCTTGCCAATCCCCAAAACCTCGAAAATGTTGGCACGGACAAGATCAAGGATCTGTTCATGAACTGGAACCATGTTTCGAAGAAAACACTGTGCATCATCATATTTGGAGAAGGTTATTCACAGTAACAGTAACAGAATTTGTTCTCTGCAAGTCCTGCAAATTCCGTGCAATTGTATGATAAAACAGATAAAATCTAAGATATATAACTGGAATAATTCAGTACCCTAAGCTTTTCTTTGCTGGAATGGTTAATAAAAAATTAAAGTGCTAGACCAGCTCAACAGAACCAAGCAAAAGCTGCAATTTAAAAACCTTAAACTGCATCAAATCCTAACAATACCTGAAAAATCATCTCATCCGGGACATGTGGCAAAACCTCCCGTACAGTCTCAGCCATAGCAAGTATATGCGCTATGCTGTCATTTGCCGTACGTGAAGCAGTCCTCATATGCAAACTACCAGCATTTCCAGGGTATCTTCCACCAACATTTGGAGGAACTGACGAAGCAGATGCAGCAGCCTGAGATGGGTTCACGGGCCAGAGGCTCCAAGCAGTATCTTCAAGAGCAGTCTGGGCATAAGTTTCTCCAACAGATGCAAGATGCCTCATCATCATGTGAACTCTTCCAAGTCCAGCAGATCTGATCCCAGTAGAAGGACCGGCTCCATCAACACTTTGGTTTGGCCAAGAATGCAACCATCCCGAATCCAGTCCTGCACTCCTACAAAGTGTAAATAATATATGGCAATAAGCCCTCTGAAGAAAAATAAAGAGATCCAGACTTTGCACTTCACTTCCAAAACTGGTTTCTAAATAGTTGAATGGCTTGTTTGGGTTTGCAATAAAAATCATCATCAATTTTTAAGGCATCTGAAACTTAGCATATCTGTTTCCTCATCTACATCAGCAGAAGAAATAATGCACAAAATGCAACTTCTTTCTAGAAACCGGAGGAACCTTTCTCTTTTTTGGTACATAAGATGGGCATAACCCATGGGGGAGGAGAGGAGACCTTGGTCCGAAACCAAGACCTCTATGTCCTCCTAAGAGCTCTTTAATCACTAGGCCAAGGAGTTGAATACAAGGAACCTTTCCCTTTAAGGACATGGATATGGATATGAAGTAATAGCGGCAGATGTAGAACAGCAGTTTGCTGCTAATGAAGTTGGAGTCAATCATAATCCCCACAAATTTCCCAAACCTGGATTAATTCATTCCAGGAGTAAGAGAGGAGCTAGAGCACCAGCTTAACCCTAAAAAACAATGAATGAACTACTTATTACCCAACAAAACAAAAAAACTCCATTGATAATCAGGATCTTAAGTGTAATGTTCCCCATCGCAACATGAACTTCACAATTAAATGATTGTTCGAATAGAAGGTACAACACACAGTTATTTCAAGACAGGGCACCGCCTTTCACCCTCACTAACAATCCATGAACTACTTATGACACAACAAAAGAAAAGAATTCCAGTCATAATCAGGACACTAAGTGTAATAGTTTCATACCTTACTACTTTCTTAATTAAATGATTGTCCAAATAGAAGACACAACACACTGTTATTTCAAGGCAAGCTAAGAGACTAATTTATACGAACCACACCTCCAAGGGTTGCCTTCCATTGGGTTCTGCATTTGATTTGGGAATACTCCTGCAGGTAGAGTGTGATCAGGCACATTTTGCTGATCAAGTCCAGAATTTATTTGTCGTGCCAACTGCTCATCACTTAAAGCTTCTCCTGTGCGAGAATTCACCTCACTTTCAGTTCTGCCCAGGAAAAGTGGCTTTCTACATGTGGGACATGAGTAAACTTCATTTAAGCCTTGGTCCAACCTGGCATGGTATGTTAATATTCAGCATTAGGTTCAGCTCCACACACTATTAAATGCACAAACCAAAATTTGATAATATCATATAACCATACCAAGATCTCAAGCAAGCAAGATGAAAAAGGTGATTACAATGAAGCTTTTTAGCCTTAGCCATAGGTTCCTGAGCTTTGCAAAGTTAGTTAGACCCTTCAGAAATCAGTGGAAAATGGAAAATGGAAAATGCAAAAACAAAAAATAAAGCATACCCGACATATGGCACATTCATCATTATACACCCATATCTCTTCAGATGTTGCGTCAGGAAGTGCCGCATGAAGAGCCCCTAATGCCATTCTCAATTTAATAAATCCCTTTATACGCTTCACAATTGCACTTAGCAAAGCCTGCTCAAAAAATTGAATTGGTGAATGGAAGGACCATGCATTGGGATGTCAAATTATCAATATATCGGGCTGTAAAATTCTCCAAAAAACAATGGAATACTTACACGTATATTCAAGAAAAGAACCGCATCCACAAGATGGAATGCCATGCCATGGAGCCACCAAATAAGCAAATAATGTCCAAGTGCCATTAACAGTGTTGCCATGTCAAGGAAGAAACCTAGATTGCGAATAAGAATGCCCTTCCATTCCCAAAATGAACCTGCAGTCATGTGCAATTGTCAAAAGAAAAGAAGAGGCAGATAGAGCAGATAACAAGCAGAAAATGCTAACAAAGAACCTTGTCTTTTCAGCCAGATGACGAAATAAGAAAGCAACAATCATTCTAAAGGGGAAAATTTGTTACATGGTAAAGGAATGCAAAAAAATTATGAATTACTGGGGAGCTAGTCTCATGAAACAGTAAAATAACCTGCGAACCTAGAAAATTTCAGCAAGCAGCATGAAGTCATAAACAATATTGCAAATAACCAAAAATATAAGCATTCCAATCAGAAAGGCTTAGACATAATAGCACCAAGTCAGATATTAATAAATGAGTAACACTCAAACATGCAAGAAAGGTGCCTTTTTCCATTTATTTATATGCCCTAACCTAGTATATAAAAAAATTAGAGTAATGAGGATCATGTTGATGAGAATGATGATGATGAAGACAATGATATGCTGGAATCCCTTTGATTTGCAGCTCAGTTGCATTAGCAATCTCAGGAAACAAGACTTTACAAGTCATTACATTCTAAATTAGAGAAGCGTCAAATATGAAAACAACCAGACAACCTATCAACAAACAAAATAATCATATTCATGCATCCACACAGAAAAAGTAAAAATACCTGCAGCTGATAAATCAAAGTGTTTTGCTCTTTGGCAATCTTCACTGTTCCCCACTGAATGGAGTGATATTTCAAGCAGCTGAAACCCATGAACCAAAATAGCCTACAGCGAAGAGCAGATATATAACAAAGCCGCCTCCTCAAACCAGGATCCAATATTTTTCACAGAATAATAGTATCATAGAACATCTAGAATGAACATATTTATCATAAAAATTGCAAAAAGAAAAAGTATTCAACAAGGATACCTGCATGGTCTCAAAAGCAATACTGAGAGGCTCAAAAAACAACAGCATAAACATAGATGAATTCAGTGTGTTGTATAACAGAAAGCTCAGCCATATCCTGAATGCACCCACAAAGAAACATGGAAATTTCAGATTTTTATGAACTTGTGAAGAGCCTAACTACCTGCTTGTAAATAGAAAATGCTAAAGCAGGATTATAAAAAGCAGAAACTCTGCTACCCTCGGTCACTACGTTGGCAAAACCAGAAAATAATGAAATCAATAGATCATATATTCATTCCTAAAGGCTAGGTTGGCAACCTATGTTACATGGATTTCCTAAGTCACAAAAGTATAAGACAGAGCAATACCAGAAGAAATTGAAAGAGATGACAAAGAGAAACACTGAAAAGACACGAAAGTATGCCCACGGTGTAGCAGAAGGAGATGCATTCAGACGCTCAAGTCGATCCCTGGCCAAAGCTTGAAACATCTGTGGCATGTGCTCAAAATGTAAGGATGCATAACAGGCAAATCAATTTCTTCCACTGTGAGCTAAAAACAAGATCTCCATCACAAATTACATAACATACCTTTAGACAACAAATAACAGTCAACCAGATTGACCAAAGACCAGCTTGGAATACTGATGATGGAATAACTAATGGTAGAAAGGTCCCCTGTACAAAATTCATCAAAATACATACCAGCATTAGCAAAAAAGAAAAAATTGAAATATAAACCTCGACAAATAAAAGTAACCTTGGAAATATGTAAAGATAACTTAAATGATCCCAAATATATAGCAATTTCAATCTTGACTAATTATTAACCAAAGAAGCGTCTATTGATCTTCCTCCTCTAGGGGCTTCTCTCATTCCTTTCTCCTTTTTTCTACCGACCAGGTTGTCATTCTCTGAGAACCATGCATATCCTTATCTATCCATATGTATCTTCCGTCTAATCCATTGGTCAAAGGAATATTCCATAAGTGTAACAAAAAAAATAAAGGGTTCTATTACATCTTCACACAAATAATCAACTTTCTAATCCAACCATCCTTCGGTGCATCCATCATATGGCAAAACCATCAGCACATTTAAGTTTGACCAAAAAGTAGCCCTCAAGATGAACCATGAACAAGGGGAAAGATTATCTCCTTATTTCATAGGGAAAGAAATGGAGATCAAAGTTACTCATCATGCAGTTTACAGATCATAACTTCAGCAGCATTATAGGCTTCTTCAGAAAAGCAACACAGTTACATCCAATTGGCAGGAGGATCTTGTCCTCAATAGTGTCTCATGAATCCAAATGTTGAGTCTGCCCAAAAATAATTCGCAACTGCCAGTAGTTCAATCCTAACCTTGTGATCTCCAGACACCAAGAAGCTCAATTCTTATAACATTCTGATACAGGACACAATACTCATCAACTCAAAGAGCATCTATTTCTCGTTAAAAGTATTTGTAGATGTGTCAAAACCCTAAAAGAACTTGAGATTGTTTATATGCCTCAAGGATGATACATAGTAGAACATCACAAATACCGGATGCTGCTTATTATAGTTTAATATTGTTTAAATCAGTTCAAACATTTACCTTGTATATAACATAGTTGATAAGGCGCTCTACTAATTTCCGAGTTTCTGAAGGGTATAACTCACCAAAAAATACAGTCTGCACATGGAAGAAGAAACCACGAGAATGGGACAAGGTTCAATAAAAATAAAATAGAATAAATTCACTTTAACTATTGATTAACATATATCCAAACTCTAAAATGAACCTTCTTTTTTCATAAAAGCAGAAAAACAACACCTTAACACAAACCCACTAATTAGCAAGAACCTTAGTTAAAATTTCATCTTCATAATTTAAGATGTGGACCGCTTCTATATCCAATAACAAGATCCTCAAACATTCTTAGAAAGACAGATATTTGCTTGACATTTCCATAGCTTTTGTGTATAGTCAGGATTGGAATCGAAGTTTCAATCTGGTTTTGAACCGTTTAGACTGTCAAATGATATGATTCTTCCAAAGTACTAACTAATTTTCACAAACTTATTTATCTTGCAAAATTAACTTGTCAAGTACACTTCTCAATGAAGTATACTGCTGCTTCAAATCAGAATCATGTCTTGCAGGAAGTTAGATAGAAAATTGCTGCTAAATCCATTTCTTAACACAAAGAACAATTACATGTAATTCATCTCTCAACATAAAGACAAATTTTCAAATCAATACTGCACCAAAAAAAAAAAAAAATCATCAAATCATTAACACCTTAAGGCTCATGGAAAAAGATTAAACTAACCTTTAGGGAAAGGATGAGTAGAATAAATACATTGAGCACAAAATTTGCCAGCAAAGCAACAGTGGCATAAGAACCCAAAAGAAGCTCAAACGCACGGTTGGCATTTTCGGTATGAATAAAATTCTCACTAATTAGCCCATCAGTTTGAAGCTTATCGAGTGAAAACTCTGTCCAAAATTGGAGACCTATGACACTTAAAGCTGTAGACAAAGCCGAGATCGCCAAGTAGCTCACACCCATTGGTGACAAACACAACTTTTCCACTAAAAATGAACTTCCAGATTTTCATTAGAAACAAACGAACATCACTAATCACGGGCAATAATGATAAATTTGGACATAACAACCAAGGAGGCGGTGGACTTCAAAATGGGCACTTCCAATGTTAATGAATTCAACTACTGAGGTTATTTCGCAACCATAAGAACCTGAAATATGTCCAGAAATAAATAAACAGCATAAAAAAATAGCGAATAGCAGCAGACTCTGAATTGATGTTAATTTTCAGCTTCTGAAAAATCATGTACTTTTTCTCGTCTCATTAATTAGCCCCTTCGAAATGAACAGACATGAATGGATTTTCAATACAGCAACCGCATAAATTGTAAAAATCCAGCGAAATTCACTATTAATAAAGCATAATTATATTGAACGAATCATTTATAATAGAATTAAAGCAGAATTTCGAACCATAAACAAATTTATCCTAATTTGCCACAAAATAACAATAGAAGTGAAACCCTAAGACAAAATTTTCAAAACCGAAAGAATCGAAGAACAAATAAAATCAGGAAATTGAACGGAAATTAGGGTAATAATATTAGACGAATTGGAGATATATAAAAAGGGTCATAAATTCATGGATTCCTCGAAGCTAAATGTAAAATTTTAGGAAAATTTAAAGTAAATAATAGATTTCAAGGAAATGATAGAAAGAACCGGAAACCTGATTCGATCTAAGAAGGGGAAGAAAAAGCTCTGACGAGTCCGTTGAGGCGTCTGCAGATATTCACCGGCAATTGCATTTTCTTTCTTTTTTCCTTTTTATGGAAAAAAAAAAAAGAATAAAAAGAGGCAATATTATCTATATTATATATATTTGAAATTATTTAAATTGAATTCATTATTAAGATTAATAGTTTAATATTTAAATTTTGAATTAGGTTTTTATAATATTTTGAGTAAAATTGTTCGTGTGTTGTCAGAACGTATTTAACATTATTTAGCTTAATTCCTTCAAAAACATTATTATATTATTTTTATAGATTAAAAATGGTTATAAAAGTGACGTGTCCTTGGCTAAACTTGGTGGAGAGCTTTGGAATAAATTACAAGTTTAGTCGATTTATATTTGTTAAAGTATGGAAGTTGACGCTTTCCCATTTTGTAAGAAGTAAAAGCAAAAGGGCATTCGCTTTGAATTTTAATATTAACTTGTATATGATACAACAATGTTATATGAAGGGATAAATCGAATTATCCTATTAGTTAAATAATATTGAAATTGATTTAAAAAAAAGTTTTTGTTTAAATTTTAATCATAATTCAAAAAAATAAAGTAAATATTCCAAAAAAGTTGCTTGAAATGAAATGAAATTAATTAATAGTTTGGTCAAATTAATTTGTTAGAAGATGCTTGAAGTCGAAGTTGCAATCAATTATCTCCTAACTGTTGCGACAAATATAAAAATGTCACTAGAAATTCAAAGAAAATTTCCTTCTCTAAACTGTAGCAGGAAAAAGATAAAAAAAGCGAATCTTTATGAAAGAGATTTGGGTTGCCACGTTTTCCATGATAGCAAAGGAACGCCAAAAGGGGATTTAACACTGTACAACCTTTGTTTTTTTTTTTTAAAGAATTAACTTGCTTATAGCTACAAAAAGAAAAATAAAACAAAAAACAGAAAGAATGAAAATAAAATAAAAGAAGAGCATGCAATATTGCGCTTTTCTAGATTTCGTTTTTACATTGTGTTGATGAATTTTTTTATATTCGTTTAAGTTTATTTATTTAAATTTATTTATTTATAATTTATTTATTTTTATATGTTTATAAATATATTTATTTAATATTTATAAATTTATTTATTTAATTTAATTAAAATAAATAAAAATATTTTACCATCTAACTGAATAAAACTTAAACAAATAAAATAAATTTTTTATTAAATACCAATTAAACCCAAATATTTTTAAAAATAAACAAATAAATTATAAAAATACATTCGTTCACGTTGATTTCGCCTACCGTCTTAAAAAAAATCATTTTTATAGAGAGCCGTCATATTAAAATGACAACTATGCCCTCTCAGTCCGCACCCCTTATCCGTCAAACTCACGATCTTCGAGATGCTTCCAGAACCCATTTCAATCTTTCACAAAACCCTAAATTCTTTAAAAAAAAAAATCCATTCCAACATTCAATCCCCCAAAAACCCCATCTCTGACGCTAAAATCAGATCCCTTTCCATACCAAGTTTCACTGCAATTAAAGTAAAAATCATGGGCATAATAAAAAGTAGTTTTTCATTCATCGTAGGCACTGTTTGCGGGATTTACGTTGCCCAAAATTACAACGTTCCCAACATCAAGAAGCTGGCTGACATCGCATTCTTCATGGCCAAGCAAGTCGAAGAGAAGTACCGCAAGCCTAAGAACAGGGACGACGATTAGCTACTACATACTATGCCATTTTCCGGAACCAATAGATTTAACAGGTTCAATTTTGTTTTCTCCTCATAATTATGGGAAGGAATAATGTTGAATTTGGGTTCTAGGCTCATGTTCATTGTGATTTTGGGACTATATTGATTTTGGGTTGTTCATTGTTGAGGGAAGGAATGCAACAGGACTCAAAAAAAACCTTCGAACCCGCTGTTATTAACTCGGGCGTTTGTTCTTTTCACATATTGAGAAATCACAACTTACCATTAACTTGGCTTCAGGTTATGCATAGGTTACTATTTTGTTGAATGATGGAGGTATCTTGAGTTGTTAGTAGTATTAAATTAGTTAGATTTTACTCCATAGTCAGTGATCATACTTTTCAATTAGCAACAGGTGGTGAGTTTTTCAATGGTTATGAATTTTGGAGTGCATGATATTTACACTCGGCTGCAATGCAGCTGCCAGGTAAGGTTAACCCTTTTGACTCAGTATTTATTAACCCTTTAAGTTTCTGAGATGGATTTTTCTTCTAGGCATTGCTTTAATTGCAGGAAGATTCTTACCTTCTTAACTTTATTTGATGTTAATGGTGGGTGTGTTTCTTACGCCAGCAGCTTGGTGGTTAATCCTGCATCTTAATATGGCTTCCAATTTTTGTTTTGTAAAGTTTTAGATTAAGCTGATTGCTTATCCTTGAAATCTGGTTTCAAGTGAATTATGGTGTGGAATAGGTTGCATGTTGTTCCTTGGTTTGGAGTTCTTTTCTTGGTGCCTTGCTCACCCAATGCTCTCCTAGTCCTAAGTTATCTGCCATAAAGGTCAAGTACAGCTTCCAAGCTGAAGTGGCCATATGTTGTAGGGAAGCAGTTATATTATTCACTGCCAGCATTTTACTGCGCCCTATAGGTCAACTATAGCTTCCAAGCTTTGTTCCGGCCATATTCACCGTTTACAGAAACACGGGTGGTATTGCTTCTATTTTATACAGTGTCCTGTGTCCCCATCGCGTAATGGCTTTCAAGTTATGTGTATGTTTCTTCCATGAGGCGTAAGCATTGGTCAATTTGATAGCTACTTGAATCTTTCTTCTGCGTCACAAATAACATTTTAGTCATACTCATCCTAATCTGTTTGTAATGAAATATTTGCTGAAAATTTTTTTAATCAAACAGAATTTATTTATTTAGTTTCATTTTTCAAGGAATACATCAAAGTTCATCGGGTAATTTGTAAATTTGTAAGATTACAAGTGGAATAGTCCTGTGTATCTTTACTGGGCCTTTAAGATTCATGCAGTAGTTGATCAATTCCAAATTTCCTACACTCTTTGGGCTTCAGATGTTGTCTCCTTTTTTGCCAGTTTCTTTTCATTCGGTTCCACAGGCGGCCCAGGAAATGAGACATATTATAAATCCATTAAAAGCAAATGTTTGGGATATCTACATCAATTTTATTGGGTCGTTATATTAATGGGGCCAATGGCAGGTCCATTCAATTGGGGTTTCCAACTGGTATCTATCTGGTACTAATAAGTATAAACATTCATAAGTGGGCCAGGTTCCATATTGTTGGTTTTGATGAAAAAAACTTATCATTAAAGTAACGGGAAACCAATGGTGCGCCATTTTATGAATAGAAACACGGTGAAAGATTTCTTAGTTCAAAATCTATTAGAAGTTAGAAAAGTTGTCACTAAGTGTGGTTAGGGATGCAAATTAATTATCTAATGTGTAAGAGAGAGACAGAGATTAATGATTAATCAACTGGTTAATCAATGCCCTCTAATATATATATATATATTCTGGTAATTTGTAGAACACCAAAGCAGAATCTGGTTTGTGGTTTTGAGATGATTGGTATCCGATCTGTAAATTGTTAATTAGTGGTTAGCAGCGTAATAAGATCAAGTTCATGGTTAATACGCAAAATATGAATTGAATATGATATCGGTGAGTGGTCCATATAAAAATCAGTATTAGATTAACCAATTATCAAGTAAAGGGCCAGCTAAAGGTAGGTTAGGTTTTTTTTATCACACTCTAGTAGTTTTTTCTTTTAGTGGGTAAACCTGTGGGGGGTAATACCAACAAAGAGGAAAATAAACCCTGACGATAATCTAATATTAAATATCAATGGTTAACATTTCACTTCTTGTCTAAAAATTTCGTTCCTAAAAGAGTATAGAATTTATGTATGCAAATAGATGTTAAGGAAAGTCCTCTAATTATCAGGACATGAGTTTATTTAAGAAAATTTTGTAAAACAATATATAATTTTTGGGGCTTTTAATTTTAGTATATAAAATTTCTTTTTTTTATTTTAAATTATGCTTTCTTTGTAAAAATAAAAATAAAAACAATGGGAGGGAAACTTTCATTTGACGTCTCTTTTGTTCATTACAATGGTGGGGGCATCTAAGAAAATCTCTTCGTTTGTCTCAATAGCCTTGTACCGCATGTTGAATGTGGCAAAGAATAAACCAGGTCAAGAGCTCCTGGAAATAGCATTTTTTTCATTTTACCGGGCTCTTCTTTCATGATTATCCATTAAAATATCTTCCCATAAATCACACCTGGACCAGCCTGCTTTGCAACAATAAGAGGTTTTTCATTTCATCTTGCAAATCTGATCGCAACCATTTTAGATGCTTAGCTTTCTCAAATTCAAGTGGAGTGGTCCAGCGTTTGGTGGAGAATATTTATCAAATGAAGGTCGAAAAATGCATGAACAGGTAAGCTATTTTGAATCGTCTGGCCACAAGCTAATGAACCTCTTTCTGTGGACCAATTTTCTCCCACTTACTGTATTTATCACATTTTGGACCTTTTCAGCTTTCATGCATCTATATGGGCACCACTCTGGACCGGTTTTTGGATTAGGACATTTTCTTGGCCGAATGTTGTCTTGTGTTGCCTACCAGGATCCTGAAACAACCCTAAACGAGACTCACACTTCCAAACTTGTTTCATGGATATTTAAGATTTCCTTTTCCCGAATCCTGTTACAGAAACAAGGCAACTCTTCTTCGTGGATAGGTTGATTTACTCTTTGGTTTTAAGGCAACCCTTTCTAGCTTTGATGTTTCTTCTTGTTATTGTATTGGCTGTTGCTGAGAAACCCATCGGTGCACAAGAATTGTGGCTCCAATCAGATGAGTTTAAACGCTTCTGATCAATTAGCCTATAGGCAATCATTAAATGGTATTCGCGTTGAACTAAACTTTTCTCATCCAGATAAAGAACAAAACATAAAGGTGAAAGTCTGAAGAAGCAAATAATATTGAATAATGCATGCTTAAAATAATACAGCATATCAAATGTACATACAGATGGACATGGATCATTCTGTCTCCCTGCCCTTTCTTCTCTTTTTTTTTTCTCCAACTCAAAGGAAAAAAAAATAACAGAAACCCCATGGGTGGTAATCAAACTAACATCATGGAGAAGGGTACAAAAATCTTCTCCTTGCCCAAGCCATAATGAAAGGATCTTACCTCTTCATTTTATAACTAGAGCTAAGAAAGACTATGAAAATCACACACTTTATACAGATGGAGCTTCTGTTGCCCCTCGAAATAAATCATACATCCAATTCCGCAGCTTGAGATCCTGATTGGGGCCCTCCTTGTAACCTTGATTCAGAAATCCTTGCAGCCACCTCTGCCACTACAAGCCTTGTCAACAGTAGCCCTGCAACTAGAGCTGCTGCCATGAGCATAGTAAAAACCGCGCTCCAGCTCTTGGCAGAGATGTAACCAGTTAATAATGGTCCAATTGCAGCACCAACAGAACCTGTTCCATCTATGATTGCTGTCACAGTTGCCAATGCCTTTGAGTGCCCTTTTAATGAATGGTGTGTTCCTAGGTCGGCTGAGACAGCAGTTGTTATAAGAGCATACGGGCCATTTACAAACATGCCGCAGATGAACATGAGAGCTACGTTCATTGCCAAGGAAATGTGTCCGTAACTACGATAGAAATAGAGAGCAGGGATAGAGCAATACATAAAAGTTGCGGCTGTTATGGCTCTGGCATCTAGGCGATCAGAAATGTGTCCAGCTAAGATTCCTCCGAGCACCCCTCCAACATCAAAAAATGTTGACAAGTTTCCGGCAGTCTCATTGGATAAATATTTTCCCTCAATCGCTGCAAGATTGACAAATAGGAAAGAGAATTAGTAATGAATCATCTTTACTCAACCAAGAACATCTCAGAATCAATGAATTCAGAATGTTTGAAGACCCCAAATGTAGGAAGAGCAGAAATCACAAAACACATGATCTATGACAATCATATCTCGGACGATGCACGTGATTCAAAAGTTATAAAATAGCGTTAAAAATTATGATGAGACAACAGGTATTCCTTGGTTAAAAAAGTTCATATGTATCTTGGTCCACATAAATGAGAGACTTCTATGTCATAAAGAGTCAACTCATAAAGTGCCCTGTTTCTTTCTATGGTCAAGCTCCCAAAGTTAGTCCCTAATGGTTGTATATGGATGCAGATTAGGTGTATGGAAAAAGAAAATAAATTAGAATACCTGTATGGCTAATGTAGTATGGAAGCCAATAGAGAAATGTGTAAGCAACCAATTTGGCAAAGAAGAGGCAAAAAGCAAACGGAGCAACCCCCGGGATTTTCCATGCTTCTAAGAACCCCACAGCTTTTTCCTTAAGCTCAGTATCCGAGCCTAATAGAGGCTCTGTTACTTCCTCTTCGTTCTTCATAGGAGAATCCACTTCATCTTCTTCTCTATCAGCTCCAACTGATTCAGGACTAACAGGCAGCAAAAGGAAAACCAGCATGCCAATGAAAGCAATAAGCAGACCTGGCACAACAAAGGACCAACCCCATCCATAGCTCAATAGTGCGGAAGCAATCAAAGAACCAGTAATGTTCCCAACAGATGTGTGAGCATTCCATATACCCATAATTAGTCCTCTCTTTTTCTTCCCAAACCAGTTACCAACTACTGCAACAACAGAAGGCCATCCTGTCGATTGAAATAAACCAGCAATCGTTTGTACTACCAAGAAATAGTAAAAACTATGGATTTTAGCCCAGTAGCCAACACCAAATAGTGACGTAAACAAGCCAGTTCCAACCATTCCCACCGTCAGAAAGATCCTTAAATTCAGTCTATCACCCAAGTGTCCAGAGAAGTACATCCCAAAAGCATATACTGCGAGAAAGGCTACGTCGAGTTCACCAAGCAAGGCCGTCCCATCAGATCCATTAAATGGGGCCCAACCATCTCCTAGAACCCACGAAAGTCTTTTGCTTTCAGCAGGTGCGCTAAGGTATGTTATCCTCCATGGGAACTTCAAGCCTACATCAGATGATTGGGGATCAAGGGCACTCTTGACAATGCTGGTGGTTTTCCTTGTCGCATGGTAGCTAGTGTAAGCCAAAAATGTTACAATCAAGACAATTGCTCGATGACTTCTATGGGAAAGCTTCGCTCCCTTAATGTATTCCAAGAATAGAATTCCAAAGGGCTTGCTATAACTTCTCTCAGCTGGCAATTCAGATGCTGAACCCATGTATTTTGATTCCCCAAAAAAAAAAAAAAGTGCAAGTAGATTCTCCAACTTCCCCTGATAGACCAAAAACAACAAGTTGGACAATTACAAAATCAATAAGCAAAGTGAGACTGCAATTCGATATGCAATTCCAAACTAATTCTTATTCAATCAACAAAAGAATATAATGAATCAAAACATCAAATAACCAATACAATTCTAGATTATGAATCATACTATAAATCAAACAAAGAGAGAGTACTCGATTTGACATCACCCGGAAATAGCACAGTATATTGCATTAAATTTGTTAAGTTCAGGGCTGGGTGCCAACATGCTAATTTTCCATAAATTTTTCAGTCCCCAAGTTACGATCTAAAAAAAAGAACAACCCACAGAGAAAAAAAAAAATCAAGCTCCTAAAAAATTGAGATACTGTGCTAAAAAACTCAGTCAAAGTTCAATACAATTTCAAAGGTGAAAAGGGGCAACCAGTCCTTCAGAAATCAGAAACTACTTAAGAAAGATATATGCTGTCCTCAGTAAAGAAAATTCAAACTGAAACAGTCTCAAAACGGGACTTAAAACGCAAACAAAACATGATCGAACGTTAAATACTGTTTTTTAAAACGCTAGTCTGAATAGAGATTCCAAATAAAAAGACAGAGAATCACCAAGAAACAGGGACAAACTGAAAACTTTTTCAGACTTTTCAACACACACTTTGACCATTAGAAAAGAAAACATCCAGCTTCTGAAATATGCTTGCTAGGAGGAGTCCATTAATAAAATCAATAACCGCCAAAGAATCAAAACGAAAGACTCAAAAAAATTAGGAAAAAAAAAAGAAGTAAAAAACAATTTACAAGAATTAGAACTTTGACGAGACAGAGACATTAACAGAAATAAAGCAAGAAGAAGATCATTACCTCTTACTTAGCTGAGCTCAGTAGATTGCTTGTTCTTTGATATCTCTCTTTCTTTCCTAAAAAAAAAAAAAAATTGCCTTCTATTCCCAGTGAAACTCTTCTCTCCTCTGGTTTTTCAGTGGTTAACGAACAAAGAACGCTTGACGATCTGAAGCTCCCAGCGGGAGGAATCTTAAACTGGGGATAATAATAATTTAAAGACTTGAATTGCCAATCCTGCCCTTTCGTAATTTCCCATTAGTATTTTGATTACCGGTTTATGGACAGTGGCTCAATATTAGGGAGTTGACTTAATTACCCCTCGAGAAGACGTGCCCTAAAAAGCCTTATTATTTGGGAGGCTTTTGGATGAGGGTTTTTTTGTTGCGTTGGCGACAAGACGTGGGTGTAAAACATGTACAATTGTTGAATTTTGATTATGAGAGTAGTTCTTTTTTCCCTCCGTTTCATATTGAAAATTGAATTGTGCAAGTCTCCTATGACTATAAATGAATAATAACAAAGTGATATTGATAATTGACAGAATGATCAACTCTTAATTAACCACATTTATACTAGAAGTCATATATAATATATATATATAAGTTATATTTTCTCATAAATATGCAAATCTTTTCATTCTTTCTTTCAATATATAAAAGAAAACAAAATTTTGCATAAGCTTCCAACTCATCTTTGCCTCATGCCGTATGTCATTATCATCAAATCAAAATAAAAAAGAAATAAACAGGAAGAAAAATAAAATAAAAGTTTATGATTTCCAAATTGAAATATATATATCTATAGAGAGAGAAATGAAAATGCAAATCATCAAATTATTCTGTTTCAGTTTACTTGAAGAACAAGTTACAAAAAAAAAAAAAAAATCAGTAGAGTGTTTCGGGACGAAAACAAACGAATTTAATTTTTAATACGTAAATTCTCAAGCAAATGGATAAGTTATTTTACTGACTGTTTGCTTTGGTTTTCCACCCAAATCTTTGCTTCAGAGTCTTGAAGATTCTTTTTCGACGTTGTAAACACATTAATTTACACAGATGAAACGTTGGTTGTAAATTATAATATTTTAGACGGCCAAACAAGTCCACCCCATGATCAAATCTTTTCGATCTAAATAAAGAACATAAATAAACTTTCAATCATCCAAAAAATATTGTTCAACACTTTTTTTTTTAAGTCAAAATGTTCAGCACTCTTTAATATATAAAAAAAAATATGAAGTGAGAAATTTTTCATCGTCCACATGAAGCATTATTTGTAATTAAGGCTACCGCGTATGATCATTCCATCGTTCTATCATCACTTTATTAGCTAATTTTGCCCTATCCTCCCTGATATAAATAATTTAAAAAACACAAGTATAATTTAGTCCTGCAGGTATGAAACATGTGGAGCGAATTGACTATAGTTCAAAATCAAACTAAATGCCATTATGCGACTAACTATCTATACCAGTGCAACCTAAGCATATGTTTTTGTTTTTACATGTGTTTTTCATTATTTACGTTTCTCTCCTTCCCCTAATAAAGAACAGCAAGCAAGTAACTCTTTGTTTTATTACAGGCTCATCAAATTCAAATCCCCTCCATCGGCATAAGCTAGCATGCATATATACAACATATTCAAAGGATATTGCGCTTTTCAGAACCTGACTGACTAACATAAGCAAATAAAAGAAGTTTTACCAGTTTTAGACAAAAGCATGCACGTTTCATGTCTGTGAGACTGAGGTGATGAGATCAAATAAAAGAGAAAAAGAAATATATCAAAATATGTTCTTTGGAAAATTGGATGTTCATACCTTTTGGGTTATCGCTTATTTTCTTTCCATTCCTTTTTATGGACTTATATAGCTGTTGTAACAACAAAATAAAAACCTTTTAAAAAAAAAAATTTGTCTTAAATGATCTGACACACCATTATTTTTCGGGCTTATATTCAGGAGGAAAAGGTCATTTCGGTTACACTATCCCAAAATACCAACAAGCTCATTCTGGGACAAGATAATTTCAATTAAACAATCGGGGGTAATTCCGTCAATCCACTAGCCGACTTTGAATTTAATAATAGAAAAGGCGGGTAGAGTCGGAAAAGCATATTCGAATATCCAAGAAGAATTATTCTTAACGTGCAGCGCATATCCTTTTCTTCTACTTTGACTACTGAGAAAGCGCATCTGGGACCCGCAATTGCCACGTCTAATTGGGGAAATGACGTGGCTTGACTGTTGGATCACGTTTAGAGACGGAAATTTAAGCCCAGGACCTTAGGACATGTGGAGTTGGATGCACTTGGCCTACCATTGGCGGGCTGTCCGTAACTGGGATTGGAAATGGGACTGGTCTGATTGACAACAGAAGTTAGAGACAGCACACCGAAATTTCGTTGTCCGGCAATTTCCCAGCGGGAGCTGTAAGTCTTTACGTCACTTGCATTGATTGATTGGTTTTATGGATGAATTAGTATGATTTTGCAATGTGCAATGGGTCACCGCTCCACCGCTTATTATTTCCTTAAAGTTCCTGTTATATATTTTGATTGATAATTGATATAAAAGATATAAAAAAGACCAATGGAGAAAAAATAAATATTAAGAATAAAGATAGAGTGAATAATTATTCAAACGTCTTAAAAATTATTTTTTAAAATTAATTATATAAATAAATTTAATTAAATTTTACATTTAAAAATTATTAGTTTTTATGTGTGAGAGAGAAAGGTATATATGCTCATAGCTTGTTGTCCGGTGTAATTTTTTGCAATCTCATGACGTTTAAATTACTTTATCAGTTAATTAATCAGCGTGGCATATGAAGAATTATAGAGATTTAAGTTTAAAATATAGTATAGCTTTATTAGATATGTTTGAGGATTTGCAGACCTTACGTTTTCTTATGCAACCAATAAGCTGTTGGGTTTTAATTTAGTTTAACTTATAGAATCTTAATAGTACAGTACGATAAAACAATCCAAGAGCAATTATCGTTCTCGTCTTTCCGGGGGACTGTTTTGTTTGGACTTGTCTGTATCAGGAAGCTTTGAAGAAAAATATCCATATATATGCATCTCAAATATATTGCTGCTTAAATCTAAATAAGTTTCTATATATGACAAGATTTTACTCAATTATTAAAGTAAAGACTGCAATGAGGATTCTTTTGACTAAAAGAAAAAAAAAAAAAGATGATTTGCGGTTTTGCTTTAACACAAGATACCACAAAATTGCTATTACTTGATGGGTGCCTGGGTTTGAAAAACGCGTCCTAGCTTAAATTTTCCTGTACTACGATTAGATGCGCACGGCACGTGCATCAAAAAAGTTGTTTATTAGTCATTCACTCTTAGCTTTGGTGCCTGGGCTGCCCGCTGAATTTTCCTACGTGTCTGTTAACACGAGTGGCATACATTTGAGGCTTGAGGCCTAAAGCATTTTCTTATCTAATACCATGTAATAGGGCTACCGTAAACCAACCTTTACCTATAGTTATTTGCTATCTAGAGGAGCACTCCCCTCCTTTCTCTCTCTGATAATATAGATCAGGAATATTATTATATAAGATAAACTGATGCACGTTTCTTGTTTTGTAAGAGAAACAGTAAACGAGAGGATATTGACCACGTTTTTCTCTGGCTCAAACTTTTGGAGTGTTCAAATAAATTTGTCCATATGAAAAGATTCTTTAAATTATATATATTATATGGCACATCCGGTGTAATAACTGGGGATAAAACTTTCTGCTCACTTGTAAAATTTTGTCTAAATGAGCGCTAATTGGTTACCGAGTCAAGTGTCAACTTAAAATGATGTGGCGGTATGACATAGGCTTGGTGGACTAAATTTTGTGGATAACAGATAGGCGTGGATTGTTCTCTGATATAGCAGTGGTTGGCTTTTAGACGTAGCATTTTTTTTTCAATGGGAAACTTTAACTGGTTTAGTGACATGCAGAAAATGACATTATTGTCTGATCATCAAGGCTCTTCTTCTCAAATTTGACATTTAGCAAAGAGGGAAATTAGAGGAAAACATCAGATCTTCTAAGTTCTAACCTATTGAACTAGTATAGATAAGATGGTACCCAATGGCAATGATACCTCACAATTCACATAGCTTAGCCTAATTTACAAGGAACCAACATGGTCTTACTCTTCAGAAGATTAATCGACTGGAACTGACTGCTTTTACTATTTAATAATATCATGCTCTTGTTTCTACTGTAAGGGTTAGCTGTGAAATCTGAACAAATCCAAATTCAGCAGGACAGCATCAGAAGTGAATTCCATTTTCAAAGCGTCAAAGGATTCCTCAAGTCAACCCACTCGCCAATATTCGGATAGAAATTGGGCTTTGTTCAGCATGACTGTACTCCGGCCAAAGCCCATAAAGACCATAACGCCATTTTGGGATTACGAATTTGGTCCATACTCATCGTTTCTAAATGGACATTAAAGGAGTTTTCCTTTCTTTTCTTTTCTTTTTTTTTTTTTTCATTTTGATGGGAAGGAAAATGAAGGTTCCAGTAAAGGTCTGGTAGTCTGGTACATTTCTTGGTTACCCTGGCAAGTGGCAAGAAAGAAAATATTCCGAATACAAAGCAAGAACCGCATTTATTTCTGAAGAGCAATGATACTGACAATTTCTTTCTAAAACGATTAAGAATAGCCTCTTGTTCCTTCATTTTACTGCTAGCAATTTTCCACTCAAGACGCCAATGTTTTTTGGAGTTCTCAATTAGGATTTAGGCCTCCATCAAAGACCAAGCCAACAAAACTATTGTAGAATATAGCAAAGCTCAATCTTGTAAACAGAACAAAATTTCTCTGTTTTGTCCATTGAAATTTAGATAAAGAGCTTTTACTTAGCAACAGGTAAATCACACATAATTTCCATTCCAACTTCTAAATGGCAGGCTGGCACCACAAATTTCATACTCAAAACCACCTAGCAAGATCTAATATCATGCCTTTACTTCCATACATGACTAGAGTTAAGGTCTCAACTGTACTATTTTTACAGTAGTAGTTTGTTAAAAAATAAAATTGGTGTTCAACGAGAACTTCAGATTAACATTTCCAAAACCAAGAGTAGCAGTAGCAAAATTTGTTGCAATTTTGATAAGCTTTCAATTAAACTGCCACGTGGGAGCTCAGAAAAGATTAACACGTAGGATATGGCTAGAGGATGTGGATTTATGAGAGAAATACGAGGACAAAATCTGGTGGCAAAAAGGTTGATTAGGTGGCAATGAGAAAAACTCCGGAGAGGAAGAGAGGCGGCGATGATTCTCTACAATTACCTGCAGTAATATATTAAGAAAAAAAAATGGCTTTATCAACTGTCTGAATTAAATTCACATTGTGTTAGTACTTTTCTCTCAGTTTACACAGATGGCAAAAGTAGCATTGCCATTGAGAAGAAGAAAAAGAAATTGAAAGAACCTGTATTTTGAAGGTTAAGTACAAGTAACATGCAAGTTGTAAAGGCATAAGGAACAGAAATGTGAAAACCTTCAAAGCTTCAAGACCTCTTCATCTCTTTCTGTTTTCCCTCTCAATTTTAATGAACCAAATCAAAAGCTTTCAAGATTGCTCTAAATTAATGAAAACAAGAAAAGACAATAAAAGATCATCAAGTCAGGGTTTCCTTCAAGTAACGAAAAAGAGGAAAAGCAAAAGAAATTTATTTACAACCATTTTCTCACTTCCAAATGTGCTGATCACAGAAGTTATAGCTCGGGTGGCTGCCTATTCAGCCTACGATTTCTTCGATGGCAAGTTAAGGTGTGTTTTCTTCTCCTTCATCAACAAAGATATGTTTCTGTTTCTCTTCGTACTTCATTTGTGTGTATGATGATTTCACCAAATTACCGATGATAAGTACATACTCCAACATGTATCCCTTGAGAAGTTCCCTGTTATCCCATGGCATTCAACTAAACAATCTTTCTTCTTGGAGAAGTGCAAAAAGAGTGGACATCCAGAAGCCTTATATAGGGATGGAGTGGCTCGTATTAGATCCTGTTTTTTGATTTTTACCTTTACTTCCCATAGTCCACTTGCTAATATGGCAAATTGAAAGTGTTGTAATGCATAGTGATATTATTATGTCTCCTCACCAATCAAGGTTGAATACTTCAGTTTTGCAAGGGTGGAGGAGGGACTAAACTATCTAAACAGTGCAGCAAAAGTAGGACATCTTAGAGCTTCTTATGTTCTAGGTGTTATCCTACTTTGTGAAGAGAAACCTGACAAACAGCAACAGGGTAGACGACTTTTGAGTTATGTAAAATCAGAAAAAGGTACACGAGAAAGCCGGAAGAAATTGAAGGACAGAATAAAAGTTATTTGGCTGAAAATTTTCTTGGAACCAAAGCCTTGTTGTCCAATGCAAGATCCACACAGAAGAAGACGAGGGTGGCCTAGTGACAACGACGATAATTTGTTTTGTGAAGCCTGTGGATGTCACTTGGAAGTTATTTTCGTTTGTAATTTGTTACGTGGTATCATGACTTATTAACAAGAAATTGGATGCCTTCGTCCTCTTGGACAGGGTTCCTCTTATCGAATATACTCAGAAATTTACTTTCATCTCCTGATCCATTTGTAAGCTGCAACTCTATAATTAAAAGCTTGGATTTTCTTTCGAGGTGAAACTAAACTAACCGGCCTTTTAATTTTTACGGGAAAATTGGTCTAACGTGTTGCAGAATTGGTGTTCACACTTTACAGTATCCAGAGTCCAGACTCCAATCACATTAATTAGGAAGACATCGGACGTTAGAGGCTGAAGGATCGCACAAGGGCGCACCTCTGCTGTTTGGGCTTGGGCAGGCTGCTCTTGGAAGTGGGACAGTAAATAGTTGCAGCTCTGTGGAGAATGATTTGACATGATGTGTAATTCATGAAACGCAAAATATTCAAAAATAATTTCAAACATTAACCGTTCCTTTTTCACTAACAGATAAGACTCAATGTTAACACTGTTTCATACACGTCCCACGTCCAAACCACTCACAATGACTATAAAATTCAATTCAACCACTACCAAGGCCCTACCACTTACCTATTAAAGCCCAGACCCCAAAAGAGAAAACCCCACTCGGCCTAATCTGCTCAGTCAATTCGGACCTGAATCACATCATTTCTCTCCTCCTCTTTGATCTTTGGCACAACCACTTTGAGTACACCATTCTTCATATCAGCCTTAATCTGATCAGTCTTGTAAATCTTCTCAGGCAAATGGATTCTGCTTGTGTATCTCCCGGCATTGACCTCATCTTCAGATTCTTTGGCACCCTCTCCCATGATAATCAGAGTGTTTTGCTCCACAGAGATCTTGACATCCTCTTTTCCAAGCCCTGGCATGTCAATCCGAAGGTTCAAAGAGTCCTCTGTTTCCTTAGCGTCCCAGTTTCGGCGGATCCCACCTCCCATGCCGCGGGAAGCAGAGAGTAATGGGTTATCCATGAATTGGTCCATCATGTTCAGGACTTGGCTTAGGCTCCTCGTTGGTGAAAAAGGATCGAACACATCTGCACAGCCAAAATCAGCGCCAAATTTAGAAAATCAGAAGAAAAAATGAAAGAATTATAAAAGAACAACAGAACCATAGACAAGTACCTGGGAAGAAACCATCGCCACGGCGAGAGAGTGAACGAACGGTGCGGCTTTCATCATCCAGGTCACGCTCGTCACCATCGTCGTTGAATTCACGGATAGCGTTGGTGTTGAAGAGTCTAGAGGTGTATGGGGCGACAGTCGTGGGACGTAACACGCGCATGGAGCTGGGCAAGATGTTTGAACAGACGAGCCTCTTGAGAGCTAGAGAAGACGCCATTGCAGCCTGTTGGTAAACAGAAAATTTTCAACTTTGCTTGTGTAGAACAAAGGTACTGAACTAGCTAATTTTTTTTTTATCGCTTAAAAGACGTGAAATCGCGGATTTATAATACGGAGGGCGGAAGCTGCTAGAGAGAGAGATTTCTGGAAGGATTCCTCTGATTTGCTCTGTTATTGGATGGTTCTGGAAGCAGACTTAGGATTTTTTTTATGCAGATCTGCTTGGCTCCCAAGAAAACAGAAATTGATATGGATTATGGACGGACTTTTTTTGGGCTTAGGCCCATTTAGCACTTCCTGTTTCTTCTAGCGAGTCCATGACTATGTACAAGAAATCTAGAAAACTCCTGTCTGCATCTTTCTTATTCTAAATGCAGATTTTGTTTTTCAAATTTTATTGATGAATTTGACGATTGTTTCCACTCTAATTTTTAGAAAATAAAATGAAATTAAATCCTACTCAAAACCAGCAATCATATCATAATTTTAATGAAATTAGTTTTTCTTCATTTTTTTTCTTTTTAATTTTTAAAAGAACCATTTAAACGACGTCGCAGAGGGTTGTATTGCTTTTGCCTCTAGCCCTGCTAATACCGCAAGTTAACTGCCTTATCGTCAGTCTGTAGCAATCGCAACAAATACTCCCTCCGAAAATATATAAACAGAAAAAAAAAAAAAAAAAAGTCCTCTTGTGACTCGTAAGCCTTAGAACTCAGCAGAGAAGAAAAAAAATGATGGTGGATCTAGGTCCATTTTCGGACGAGAAATTCGATCCGAAGAAATGGATAAACTCAGCGTGCAAAACTCGGCATCCGCAGGACTCCCTCGACAAGCACATGGTGGATCTCGAGATGAAGCTCCAAATGGTCTCCGAAGAGATCGCCGCTTCGCTCGAGGAGCAAAGCGCTGCCGCCCTCCTCCGTGTTCCTCGTACCACGCGCGACGTCCTCCGCCTCCGCGATGACGCTGTTTCTCTCCGCAATTCCGTCGCCGGCATCCTCGACAAGCTCAAGAAGGTCTGCTCGTTTCCTTTCACATAGATCTTATCTTAATTCAATGTTGCTTTTGGATCTCGAGAAAGTGCCAAACTTGAAATGTTCCTTGTTGATTGGAGGCCAAAATCAGTGTTATTTTTAATTTAATTGAAGCTCAATTTAGATTCAGTTCCTCTTAAATACAAAATTAAGCTATAAAGTTAACTGATTTGAGTAATGTTAGGATTTGATGTATGTTTTATAATTAATTCATGTATTTGAAGATGGACTTAGTTTTCTCCTAGTGATGTTGCAACCGATTGGCTCTCTTATTTGCAGGCGGAGGGATCCTCGGCAGAGTCTATAGCTGCTCTTGCTAAAGTTGACACTGTCAAGCAGCGAATGGAAGCTGCGTATGAGACACTGCAGGCGAGTATCATTGATTATTTATCATCCTGATCTGTAACATATTCGAATTTAAAGTAGATGTTAGGGTTTCTTATAATTTTTTTTTTTTTTCTCTTTGGTTTGCATCTGCGAAATTAGGATGCTGCTGGGTTAACACAATTGAGTGCAACGGTGGAGGATGTATTTGCCAGCGGGGATCTTCCTCGTGCTGCAGAAACCTTGGCTAACATGAGGCATTGCTTGTCTGCTGTTGGCGAGGTAAGTATATTTTAGTGTTTTTTATATGATGTTTTCTGGTTTGTCATCGATAAAGTTTGATAGTTTAATGTTTGTCCTTGAACTGTCTGTTTTTAGGTAGCTGAATTTGCAAATATTAGAAAGCAACTTGAGGTCTTAGAGGACAGATTGGACACAATGGTGCAGCCTCGTCTCACAGATGCATTATCCAATCGCAAGGTTACTGTTTTGTTCACACGACCTTTATTGCTTTTTTCTTTTTTACTTGAAATTTCATCATCTTTTTGTTACTAATAGATTGTTCTATACATTTCTACCTGTTATGACTTTACAGGTAGATGTTGCTCAAGATTTGCGAGGAATTCTTATTCGAATTGGAAGATTCAAGTCTCTGGAGCTGCACTATACAAAAGTTCACCTAAAGCCCATAAAGCAACTCTGGGATGATTTTGACTCTAAGCACCGAGCCAGTAAGCTTGCTAATGAGAAGATTGAAATTGAAAGGCTATCAAATGGTAATGAATTACAGTCAAGTTCTCCAACAGTTTCATTCTCAAGTTGGTTGCCAAGTTTCTATGACGAATTGCTACTCTATCTCGAACAAGAATGGAAGTGGTATTCCTCACATTTCAATGCCTCAAAGTTTCAATTCTCAAAGTTGTTTCTCCATGGTTTCTTATTTTATTTTCTTGCCAAAAATTTGAAAATGTTACCTAAAATTCGCTACAAAAGGAGTTCACTACTTTTAGAGTTTATTTAACAAATCTGTTTTTTTAAATTTTCAAAGCTGCCTGTTCTACATTCATTAATGGAAGAAACGTTTCTGATAGAATCGATCATCAACTAAATTCATTGCTTGACTTCTGTCTTTAAAATGGGAAATGGAGAAATTGGAAAAGATTGCTGGATATTTGTTGAATTTAGCTTCTCTTTTCTCCTCCATAGAATATAAATCTTATGGAATATGAGAATTTACTAAACTTTTTTCCCAGGTGTATGCTTGCTTTTCCTGATGATTATAAGACTCTTGTCCCAAAGCTACTCATGGAGACCATGGCAGCTGTGGGATCAACTTTTATTTCCCGCATAAACCTTGCTACTGGAGAGGTTGTTCCTGAAACAAAAGCTCTTGGTAAAGGTAATAATTAGCCTTTATGATATCCTTTAAGTTTTTTATTGCATCGGTTGATTGATCTGTTTGATTTCTGCTAAAGGGCAGCTCTTGATCATTTTATTCTCACATTCCTTGTGAATAACATCAGGTATATTAGACATTTCATCTGGAGATCTGCCCAAGGGTAGTAAGATTCAGACCAAGCATCTAGAAGCCCTGATTGAATTACACAATATGACGGGAATCTTTGGAAGAAATATCCAGCACTTATTTTCAGAATCTGATCTCCGGGTTTTAATGGACACACTGAAGGCAGTGTACTTTCCATATGAATCATTTAAACAGAGGTAAGCTGTTACAAGGATAATAAAATGCAAATGCCATTTTTCTCTCTTTTTTTAAAGTCTAGAGGTGGAGAGTCTACAGATTAACCTAGCCTAAACTCAGCTTGTTTAATAGGACCAACAAGAATTTATGCCATTTATTTTTAATCACTTTCTTCAAGATTTTTTAATTCAATTTCTGTTCAGGTTTAAACTTTTTCTTCTAATCAAAGGAAGATGTATGGAGTATTTGCATGTGTCTGCATCATTTCTAATTCTTGCAATTTTATCTCCTTGTATTGAAGAGCATATTTTCGTGTTTTCTGTTCGTTAATGAGTAAATTGGATATGTTCTAGGTATGGACAGATGGAGCGTGCTATCCTCTCCTCTGAGATTGCTGGGGTGGATCTCAGGGGAGCTGTCACTCGTGGTGTGGGAGCCCAGGGTATTGAACTCAGTGAGACTGTTCGAAGAATGGAAGAATCTATTCCTCAAGTTATTGTACTTCTTGAGGCAGCTGTGGAGAGGTGCATCAGCTTTACTGGTGGTTCAGAGGCGGATGAGCTAATTCTTGCTCTTGATGACATAATGTTACAGTACATTTCTACCCTCCAAGATACCCTCAAATCACTTAGAACTGTCTGTGGAGTGGATCACAAGGACTTGGGCTTGGACAAGAAGGAAGGGGCTCAATATTCAAGAAAGCTTGACTTGATATCTAATGAGGAGGAGTGGTCGATTGTGCAGGGGGCCTTGCAGATACTCACTGTTGCAGACTGTCTTACTAGCCGGTCTTCGGTCTTTGAAGCATCTTTGAGAGCCACTCTGGCTAGATTGAGCACAAGTGTGTCAGTTTCAGTATTTGGTTCAAGTTTGGACCAAAACCAATTACATGTCACGAGTGAGGATGGAAATGGGGAACCATCATTGGGTGGAAGGGCTGCCTTGGATGTGGCAGCTGTGCGGCTTCTTGATGTTCCTGAGAAGGCCCGGAAACTGTTTAATCTTTTAGATCAGGTATATGAAAATAAAATACGTGCTTTCTTTTCTGTCTTCTATGTTGCTCAGATTTATGTTGTAATCTGAAGCCAAAAAAGCAGAAGATGCAAGGTTAAATTGAATTTCACTGTTGTTTAAATTATAAGTGTCTGAATCTTTTCATGCCTTATCATTTGTTGTGGTGCTAGTTCTCCTTCATGTAGAATATTGGTTTTGTTTGCCACTGCACGTTGACTAACTTGAAATAATGATGATAATTTTGTTGTTGTTGCAGTCTAAAGATCCTCGATTTCACGCCCTTCCACTTGCATCCCAAAGGGTAGCAGCATTTGCTGAAATGGTGAATGAGCTTGTTTATGATGTCCTGATATCTAAAGTACGGCAACGTCTTAGTGATGTATCTCGTTTGCCAATCTGGTCAGCAGTAGAGGAACAAAGTGCTTTTCCTCTCCCAACGTTCAGTGCATACCCACAGTCCTATGTGACCAGTGTCGGTGAATATCTTCTTACTTTGCCCCAACAATTGGAGCCACTTGCTGAGGGTATTTCTAACAGTGATTCCAACAATGATGAAGCTCAGTTCTTTGCAACAGAATGGATGTTCAAGGTAGCATTCTATCCTCTTAATTGTAAATTATTAATATGAGAGCTAACCATGATAGTTTTTGAATGCCTAGCTAGAGAATTTTTTTAAAAAACCAAAGGGGGGTGGGGGAAGAAAGAATGGGGCAGTTTTAGATTGAAGGGTATCAAATTATCATACAATTAAGATATGGATTAACCAAAATATTTTTATATATCCCCTTAGAAGTTCTCAATAATCATCAGTAAGTTCATGACTCTGGTGGTTTGGGCTGTAATATATAATTTTTGTTGTCTTCAATTTTTTATGCATGGATATTGAGTGTTTGGCCTGAATATACAAAGTTGCTTAATTTAAAGATGAAAGATCTTAAATAGACTGAATTTTTGTTTTATGCCTACCATATATCTAACATAATATATATATATATACACACACGTGCGTTGAAAAGGTTGCTGAAGGTGCAACTGCCCTGTACATGGAGCAGCTCCGTGGCGTCCAGTACATAACAGATCGTGGAGCGCAACAGCTCTCGGTTGATATCGAGTACTTGAGTAATGTGCTTTCTGCTCTTTCAATGCCAATCCCTCCAGTTCTTGCAACCTTTCAAACCTGCCTTGGAACCCCTAGAGATGAGTTAAAAGACCTATTGAAGTCTGATAATGGAAATCAACTTGATCTTCCAACTGCAAACCTTGTGTGTAAAATACGGCGTGTGAATTTGGATCAGTAAATTTTTTTTTTAGAAAGATTTTTGATTTTGTAATTGCATTACAATTCTATCAATATACCATAAGGGAGTTATTGCCTAAATTAATCCTTTACTTTTATCAATGAAATCATATGCTTGCCTTAACTTTCTAAGTTTCACTTAGAAATTCTCTGATATTTGCATCTGCCCTTGAATTAGATTTTTTCTCCGTTGCCTTGACAAATATGCCTTATTTTTCCCAAATGTAAATGCAAAGAAATTGCTTTTTTCGTATCTGATGTATTTCCTAATAATTCGATATTCAGGTTAAAATGTTAATTCATAAAATTGTTTTTATATAAAGATTTGTTGTGAATGATGGCTAGAAGGTAAAAGATTTTCACAATTACCATTGGTTAATTTGAATTTTTAACGTTGGTAAAAACATGCTGCTTGCAACTATTAACTAAGTAATTGGTGGATAAGCAGTAGTAATATTATGAAGAAGAAATCTGTCCACATCAGATGGCATTTCGATTGCTGGTAATGAAAGCTTCCTTGTGCACAAGACAAAGTAAGCTCCTGTTGGAAGATAAAAACAAAACAGAAAAAAACTACTGGCTCTAAGGAGTTAAACAGTGTCCAACCACGAAGCAATCCCTCACAGAATTATCCCCAAAACCAACTTTCTGTGGCTCTCCTTTAATTTTTAAAGGACACCTAAAACCTTTCAAAAAATCAAATGAGCTCTTCACTAAGTTCATCATCATATCAACAATAACCAAATCTTTAACCTTACTTCAACAATGAATGACACAGTAGACAAGCTGGTCATCTTTCTAGCCAAGAGAGATGGTATCGACAAGCTTGTCAAGACCTTCCAATATGTTTCCAAGCTTGTTCACTGGCAAGTGGAAACCACTCACCTAGACGTTGCAAATAGGTTCAAGCAATGGGAGGTTGCCTCGGGCCTCAGCAGAAAAGCCTTTAGAACTGGCAGGTTCCTCACTGGTTTCAATGCCCTGAGAAGAAACCCTGGCTCCACTCCAACTTTCAAGCTCCTAGCTGTTCTTGCTAATGCAGGCGAGATGGTCTATTTCTTTTTTGACCACTTTCTTTGGCTATCAAGAATTGGGACTTTGGATGCCAAGTTGGCAAGGAGGATGAGCTTCATATCTGCATTTGGTGAGTCTTTTGGTTATATTTTCTTCATTGTTTCAGATTTCATTATCATGAAAGAAGGACTGGAAGCAGAGAGGAAACTCATTGCTTTAACCGAAGAAGATTCAAAAGATGCAAAAGAGAAGATAAGAAAGATCAGAGCTGATAGGATGATGAGGATGATGGCAGTGGCAGCAAATATTGCTGATTTGATTATTGCAGTGGCAGATATCGAGCCCAACCCATTCTGCAACCATGCTGTGACTCTCGGAATCAGTGGGTTGGTCTCTGCATGGGCCGGTTGGTACAGAAATTGGCCTTCATAAACAAAATTTAATGGGAAAAAATGATGAAAAAAGTCTTGTCAGATGGAAACTCTCTTTCTAATTAATCCTGTTGTAATTAGCTCGAAAATATTGAGGTTTTCATGCTGGGATATCAATTTTGGCATATGTTTGTCTTGTTCTATACTTGGAGGAGGGATGGTTTTACACTTTTACTACTAAAAAACTCAGTTTTTTGTTTGAAAAGGATTATGGTGCACCATTGTTCCATTGTGCCATTGTTCAAATATTTAGTGAAATATTTGAACAATGGCAGTCAAATTATTAATTTCAGTGTTCCATTTGAATTCAATCAAGCTTTGGAACCAACTAAAATGAGCTTTTAGGAATAGCAAAATATGAATGATATCTCTACAAATATTTGCCAAATAAGTCATGGAACAATCGAATGATGATTGTATGCCGACCCACATACGCTCAATTTAGCCAGTGAAAGTCTTCGAGTTCTGGTCCATAAAACTAGTCAAAATTTTGCTCTAACAAGTGTCTTTAGATCTCAATTCTCATGTTTAAATTTCATCCATATTCAAGATTTAATTGGTATAATTATCATATAATGAAAAAAATAATTTAACTATCATAAAATAAAAGTTTATAACTTTGATTTCATGTAACAGAAACTTGAAGCCTTAATTCAATTTTTGTATAAAATTTAAAGATTTCTTCAGATATAATAAAAAAAACACACAATGCAACTCTATTTTGATATAAAAAAATAAAAATTAAAAAAGAGAAAAAGGGAAGGTAGTAATTAGTGTTACTCCATGAAGTCTGACACGTGGAAGCTTGCTGTTTTGACCCAAAACGGCAGTCAAATACGAGCGGTTGATTTAAAGTTGATCCAATTAGTAATGGTAACGGTTCGATCCGGGCGAATTTTTACTTATTTTGAATTCGATTTAATTTTAAATATATAAAATTTAAATATGACTGATAAATTTTTTATTATTTTTATATTAAAATTTTTTTATTTAATATTATATAAAATTATATTCGATTTGATTTAAAATTAATAAAATATTATTTTTAAATATAAAATATTATTTTTAATATAAATATAAAATTAAATATATATAAAAATATATATAATTAAATAATTAATTAAAAAATAATTTTTATATATCAAATAGAATAAAATCGAATTTGTTTAAAATTTGATCTCTTAAATTTTTTATTATTTTTATATTAAAATTTTTTTGTTTAATATTATATAAAATTATATTCGATTTAAAATTAATAAAATATTATTTTTAAATATAAAATATTATTTTTAATATAAATATAAAATTAAATATATATAAATATATATAATTAAATAATTAATTAAAAAATAATTTTTATATATCAAATAGAATAAAATCGAATTTGTTTAAAATTTGATCTCTTAAATTTTTTTTTATACCATTCAATCCAATCCAACTTGATATCTTATTTTTAAAAATAAATCGACCGGTCGGATCGGATCTCTCCAAACCCAGTTCTTAACAAAGTCGCCTGGTGAAGGTTAGAGGTTGGTCATTGGCGGTGCGGGTGCTATGGAAGAAACCATAGAGGCATAGACTCGACAGACCGGGAAAGTGGAGAGACTGGTTCAAGTTGACCCTGCAACCTTAATTCTTGTACCCCAACCAACCCCATTTTCGGAGACTTTGATATTTGCCATCTCCCTTACTTTTTTCTCTTTCTCTTGGTTCTAAACTTCTCCAAGATCTCGTGCATTTCGGAGGTTGTAAGACTTTGAAGACTCATCCATGTACGCCTCCTCTTTCTTTTCAATTCCGTAGCATTTCTTTTTTTTTTTTAAATTGATTTTTTGATTTAATACTTTGGGTGGTTTTGGATCAGATGGCGGACCCGCAATCGAGATACGTTAAGTTGACAAAAGATCAGGCGCCTTTAGAGGATATCCGACCTGGTGAACTTAATCAGCCCATTGATGTTCCTCAGGTCTCTCTATCTCTCTCTTTTGCCATCTCTCAAAAAAAAATTGGCTTTTTGACTTCTTTTTTCCTGTGATTTGAGTGTTTCTTATTCGATTGTTTTAGAGAAACTTGTTGCTTTCAATTTGAAATTGCTCTATCATGTCACATTTTTAACTATTTCCTCCAATGCTTAAGATTACAGTTGTTCCATTGAAATAATATTGATAATATGTGAGGATAGCGTTGTAGCTCTTTCTTATAGCTTGATATTTATAGGCTTTAATCCAGTCTGAAAATTGAGGTAAAACTTTGCTGCAAGTCCTGCAAATTTGCGCATGAATTATCTGCTGTGAAAAGCATTTTTGGGGGGACATTCAGATCTGACTCTAGGACCTATTTTAAAATGTTTATCAAATGTTATCATGGTTTTGATTTCTGTGCCCAGGAAGCATCATTTAGTCTGCCGATATTTTGCACTGAGGTCTTGTTCCTCAAGAAAATTATGAACTTGGAAGGTTTTAAGTCAAAATAATAAAGATAAGATGGTTTCCTGCCAAACTTTCGAGGTTGTTGATTGTTGGTCGTTTTCCAACTGGGAAAAGTAAATTTCAGATGTCTGAGCATACTGGGATATGGCTTGAACATTTTGGTCAATAGGTCATTTATTTATATAATAAAGTATGATATAGCATAAGATTTTGTTTAAAAAAAAAACTTTTTTTTTGTTGGGAGATGTACATAGGGGTATTCACTGATCTGTTGGGTTGTTTCTTAGTTGCATGTCCGAAAGTGCACTGAATGTGGACAGCCTTTACCTGAAAACTTTGAGCCTCCTGCTGTTGAACCTTGGACAACTGGAATTTTTGGCTGTGCTGAAGATAGAGAAAGTTGTAAGTTGATGTGTTTTGCTTTGTCAGTCTATGACTTTGCCCTTGTTCTTTGCTATGAAACTGTAACTAATTGTGAAGGAATGCTTACATGCTTGAACCATTGAACAACTTTTTTTTATGTATCATATCAGTTAACTGATGACTCATTTTCTGAATCTAATTGCTCGATTATTCTAAACATGTTTTACATGCGTTTAAGTGAAACAGAGGGACAGAGCTCTCTCTGCTTTTGTGTGGGAGCTTGTAAGAAAATGGTTTAGTATAGGACACTTTTATGCTATCATTTTTCATTACAGCGATTGTGGTTTAAATTAGCATATTGACTTGCTCTGCAGGCTGGACGGGACTGTTTTGTCCATGTGTTCTATTTGGACGTAATATTGAGAACTTGAGAGATGATACCCCTTGGACTACACCATGCATTTGCCATGCTATTTGTGTTGAAGGTGGCATTGCATTGGCAGCTGCAACAGCGGTCTTCCATGGTATTGACCCGAAGGCATCATTTCTCATTTGTGAGGGTTTGTTGTTTGCTTGGTGGATGTGTGGAATATATACTGGTCTTGCTCGGCAATCCTTACAGAAAAAGTATCATCTCAAGGTAGTATCTAATCTTACTTTGCCCATATGCACTTATTATTATGGCAAAACAAACAAGACTATCCAGCTCAAGTAGTTGCCAAGATAATAGTTGCTGCTTTTCAGTTTTCTTGTGGTACAATATTTTAATCAAATAAGCATTTGTGTTATCATGAAATGAAGTATTAGTTGTGTCCAACTGAAAATGATGTTTGTGATTTGACGTATGAATTTTTATCCATAGAAGTAAATTTGAACAAGAAAATGTTTGTCTTAAAACTCAATCTAAAAATTTGAACCTTTTGAAACTTCTTATTGGTGAATTCGATCAGTTGTAATTTAGTACTGTAGTAATATTCTTTGTGGCTTACCAAGATTACCCATGGATTAGTCTGTTGTGTCTTTTGGCATGGAGCAAATTCTCCATAGAATTATGTTGGTTTATATTCCTCTTAATTTGAAATCCATGCCTGAAAATTGAGTTGACATTTGAAATTTCAATGTGTCTATTAATCAATATACTGGTATCCAATAGGAATTTTGACCAAAATCATGGGTTCTAGAAGTAAAGGGCTACTACTTCGTTCATTTTCTGACTTGCATTTGTTAACTGCAGAACTCGCCCTGTGACCCGTGCATGGTGCACTGCTGCACGCACTGGTGTGCTTTGTGCCAGGAGCATAGAGAGATGAAGGGTCGTCTATCAGATAACTTTGTCATGCCAATGACTATTGTCAACCCGCCTCCTGTTCAAGAGATGAGCTCTGCCGGTGAAAACCAGGATTCAACACCACCCTCTGGAACTAGCACAAACTTGGAGATGTAAGCTTTCTAAAGATCTTCCATTCTTCGTACAAAAGGCATTTTGGTGAATGATTTTCGCCATGGAGGGATTTCATTTTCATATTCTTGTCTTGTTTCTCAGTAGCATTGGCTAGTCTTCATACAGAACTCTTCCATACTCTCTGCATACTGAATCTATTATCAACTTTTTGCTCAACTCCCTGATCAGTGAGGCATTTTATTAGATATATACAGATATTGTCACTTCAAAGTTATTTGCTTCATTGTACAGATGTTGCAATTTTAATATAAAAAAGTACTCTGTTTATGATCAACAAGACAACAACTCAACAATTATACGTCAGGGAAATGTTTACACAAGATTAGCTTGAACATTACTTTTCCATCCAATCCGGTGGCGGTCGGCTCCTCTTGTCCTATTTTTACAGGTTGCTGTTCGGATACATTCACGGTAATTAGTGTGTAAGAAGGGCCCCCACGAAAAAAAATTGATCCAATAATTGTCTGTCTTGGTTCTCAAAGTTCCAAAAGCCTGAAACGTATGATACCCACATACGGGCCTAGTCCCTGGTCCTATCTTTTTCCCCACCGTTTCAATCTTTCTATTAATCTCTCTTTTTTCTTTTTTAAAATAATTTTGCTTCCAAAAAAAAAACTGCCGTTTGTCTCTTTTAAAGTGAAAAAAGCAAATGCAAACAGTACCAGTCAAAGTTGTCCCAAAATTCAAACTTCAAAACCTTTTCTGCTACCAACTTCTCACTCTCTTATTCCAGAAAACCCTTTTCCCTTTTTTTTTTTAAACTCAAAATTTAGTTCAGTGAATGGAGAGACAACGTTCCGATAATGGAAGAAGAAACAGACAGGGAAGAGCCAAAGATTTTTCGCAATGCAGACTCCAGCGGGCTTCATCTTTGCCTCCGGTTCCCAGAGCTCCACCTCCTCCACCAAATGAGCCGAAACTAGCGGCAATAGCTGTCGATTTGAACGTTCGGCTGAGATCCGCTGACATGCCTCCGACAATGCAAGAGCGAGCTATCCGGCGAGCCAGAGCTCTCCTCGACGCCAACCCAGATAAAAACAAACGATCCAATCCTACGCAACTTGCAATGTGCTTTAAGAAGGTACCCAAAATTTTACCTTTCGTTGTTTTTAAAGCTTTCTCTTTTATCGTTTTTGCTTCTTTTTCAAGTGTTTAACTTTGAGGCTTTGAAAACAAAACTGATGCAGGAATTTGACGCATTGTACGGACCGGCATGGCATTGCATTGTGGGGAAGAGTTTAGTGGAGGATTCTTGTATTTCTCTGTGGACAAGCTCTGTTTTCTTCTCTTCAAGACAGAGGTCCGTCCTGTTGTTAAACCTCCTACATTGGTCAGATTAAAAATTAATAATGCCTAATGTGTTTCGTAGAGAAAGAAAGTTCAATTTTTGTTGCAGTTTGATCTTTGATTTCATCGTAAATTATATCGGATGCTTTACTTTGTTATGACAATTGACGGAAGATTTTAACGCATTTGGCTTGATTAATGTAAGAATGCTTTTACACTCTTGCTCATCTTTCAATTTTTGCAAACAATCTTCGGCTTCATGGCACTAAAATTTAGATATGGAACCTGGAAAACAGATTCACGTTGAATCATATTGCATGAATCATTTGAATTAATTTCGTAAACTATTATTTTTTGATAAATATTATTACCACTTAAGTTGAAAACATATACACATGTTCCCAATTTCATGACCACATTTAGCCAAAAAGTACAGGGAAAAAAGCCAAGGAAAAGCCGAAAAGATAAAGGCCTACATGATGTACAAAACATAGTTTGCAATACCCTTATTCAGTTTCAGATCAAAGAGATAAAGGCACCAAACAGTGAGAAAAAGACAGAAAATATACAACTGTTATCTTGTAGGCACCTAGGTTTCTGGACTTCTTTCTATGAAATATGAATTCTGGCTGGGTTAGTTTTTGCTCGAACCCAGCATGATATATAAACCCTAAGCATCAAATCAGCCAGCCTAATCCGATCATGTAATAAACATAGAGTCTAGCAAACCTCGCAAACTAACAGGAAGCAATCAAATGATCTCAAGTCTCAACAGAAATTTTGTATATTTTGTCTGCTGCTAAAATATAAGCTAACCTTTTTTTATTACATGTTAAAAGATAACGCCGTCCTTTTTAAATGTTGTTAATATTGTATTGTTAACAAGTAATAACTTTTCCGTGCTACAAATATGTAATTCTCTGACTTAAATATTGTTCCTTTTTTATATTGAAACATTTCGATTATTAAAAAATAATAAACATATATAATAAAATTTTAACAATAATTTATATTAAATTTACGTATTGTTCACCAACCCAATTATTGATAACGAGAAGGAACAATGATTTTATATTAAATTTACGTATTGTTCACAAACCAATTATTGATAACGAGAAAGGAAAATTTTCTACCAAGGACAAACATATGTTAATCAATTACTTTATTAGTATTTTTTTAAAATGGGACTTCGTTACCCTTTTTTAAATTATTAATTTTTTGTTTTACCGTGCATTATTATGTATTAAAACAAACAAAAGAGTAAAAAAAAAAAAACAAAACAAAGGAATTTTGTAAAACAAAAACATCACATGTGAAAATAAAGAAATCGTCGAATGAGAAAAAGCCATGTTAGCAGAAGGTCGTAGTTGATGGTTGATGGGACCCACTTTCAATGATAATACTCCCCCGCTTTAATCAAATCCTATCTGCAAGTCTTCTCCAATTCCGGAATGGAGTAGAACGATTTACTACCATTCAAAGTTCTGAATCACTGTTGTTTCCCCCAAACCGTAATTTCCCCATCCATGGCCAGAGGAATCCCCAACTACGACGGTGATGACAGCTCTTATGACGGCGCTGGTGGAGGAGGCGGCGGCAATGGAAGCCAATGCATAACGCAACGTTCTCCTTCTGCCTCCTATTCATTTCCACACTTTGACTCTTTCTTCGATTCATCATTGAATCGTGGTACCATCGGAGACGTATTTTTCGGCACCGACGATATAAAGGACACTAGAGAGTTAACGTACAAGGGAGATGTGCTGGAGAGTTTCCTTACAGAAACGGCCATGAAATCTCTGAGGCGGCAATCAAAGAAAGGATCGATCTCGAATTTCGGGTGTGTGGAGTTCTTAAAACTTTTATTCAGTTGCTGCAGATGTATAATATAGGATGATTATTGATTAATTTCTAGTTAGTAGTAGATTTAATATTCTATTTTTCATGATAACTTGAAATTTATTTCCAATAATTTGTAAAAAACAACATTTCTGATCAGAGGTACAATCAGTCTAATTTAGTTAATATCGCGAAAAATTCGAGTTTGACTTAGAAATTAATTGTTCGATCGAATATGATTAAATTTTAATTTTTAAATTTTTATGTAATTTAAGATGAAAATCAAATTATTTAAATTAATTTAATTAAATTTGTTTAATAAGATGACTTTGATTCTTATATTTAATTTCACATTCGATTATATATACGAAATTAAATTCAATCGGATATAAAAAGAAAATAATAAATTTTTAATTTAATTAATATAAATATATTAAAATTAAAAATTTTAATTAAATTTGTTAATTATTCAAATGAAATATTAAGATATTTAAATTTAATTTATTCAATAAACCAAATTGAACTAAAATTCAATTTAATAATTGATAAAATTAGATTTGAAATTTATCCTAACGAAACTCAGTAAGTTCGAGCATTGATGCCCTATTTCTGATAAGATGCGGAGCTTCGTTCTCTTCATTGTAGATAAAAAAGGAAAAAGGAATCAGCTTTGTGGGTTGTTTCATTCAAAACAAAACAAATTCTGATATTTGTTTTCACAATTCACGATTTTTGGGTTTTTCTTATTGAAGTGCGTGAGGGCTGAGGACGCATTTTAGACTTGAAAAGGGCATTAGAGCAGCACGAGAGTTCGTTCAACAAACTTGGTCTATTTTTTGTTTTATTTCATTATTATCTAATTTTGGCTACTACATTTTTCTTGTGAGCTGGCATTTGATTTTATTATAATGACTATTTATAGCCATTTCCTTTATCATAATTTTTTAAGTTTAAACCGAAATATACGCACCAATCATCATTGAACTAAATGTTTAAATGCTTTAAATTTAACACAGTCCACATAAATATATTGATACGTCAATAACACAATTCATGCTTACCAAAAATAAAATAAAAAGGGCAATCAACTTGCCTTCCAAACAATTGGTAGCATGGCATTTCAAAGCTACCCTTTTCATTAACCTAATGATTTCAAATGAAACCAAAAACCAAAAATATATATATGTATTAAAAAGGGATTAAACCAAAATTTATATTTTTACCGTGATTAGTTTATTTACTAGAGTTGATATTTTATTGGTTAGTCTTTTATTGTTTTATTATAAATATGTTATTTTGTTTAGGATTTGAGAATCTTTTATTCTTTAGTTATCAAGATTTTTAAGATATTGTTTAACATGTATGTCTTAACTTCATTTTTTAATTTTTTAATTTTAATTTTAATCTATTTTAAAAAATTATTATAAATTGAAACCATAATTCCTAGTTTTATAAAAAATAAAATAAAATAAATAAAATACAGTACTTATTTGCCAAAAGGTTCTGCTATAGGGCCTAGTCCGGTAAATTGCATTGGGCTTGGGCTTCACCTTTAGATGTCGCGTGAAATTTAACGGTTCTTGATCTATGAAGTCATCAAAGTTACAGTACACAATCATACACCAAATACTGCCACCATCGTCATCTTTTAATAATATCTTCCCAAACTAAAACCCCTCCATTCTGGTTTCATTTCACAGTTCGCTAATGGCGCTCAAAACCCTTTCCTCATTTCTCTCCCCTCTATCTCTTCCAAGCCACCACAATCTCCCTAACTTCAACTATACATCCCTCAATATTTACAGAAAACCCACTCCCGTTTCTTGCAAATCCACTCAGTCACAGGCCCAAACCCAAATGCCACTCTCGGAACCTCAATTGCTTTCTTCTGAGCCCGAAGGAACCGGTGCGGCTGCTCCGACCCGGGGAGACCGATTCCTCGAAAGGCAACAAGTTGACGAGGCTGCTAAGCTTGTGATAAATGAGATAAAGAAAAGTAAGAAGAAGACGAAGAAGGTTTTGAAGGTTAATACGGCGGTGGCGAGTTGTTATGGTTGTGGAGCTCCATTGCAGACATTGGAGATGGATGCTCCAGGTTATGTGGATACTGATACTTATGAATTGGTATTGAACTTCAACTTTGACAAATTAAAATTATTATTATTATTTTTTTTGGTGAATGATCAAATGCTCTTTGTTTTAGTTTAATAGTGTTAGCAAATTTTGAGGAAGCAACAAGTTGGAAAACTGATTGAACTTTTTTTTTGCTGGATGGAGCTTGGTTGATTAAGTTAAAGTTTGTGGTCAAATTAGATAGCTAATTTGATACTGGGTAATGATTGCAGAAGAAGAAACACCACCAGCTAAGAACGATTCTTTGTGGGAGATGTAGGCTTTTATCTCATGGGCATATGATAACTGCTGTTGGTGGGAATGGAGGTTATCATGGGGGAAAGCAGTTTGTTTCGGCTGATGAGCTTCGTGAAAAGCTCTCTCACTTGCGCCATGAGAAGGCTTTGATTGTTAAATTGGTGAGCGGTTATCATTTACTTGTGGATTTTGGTGATATAAATCCTATGGTGTTAATCAAAGTATGATAAATGCATGAAAAATACCATTTTGTTATTAGTTGTGAGGAAGTAGCATGTGTAAGGTAGGTACCTCCCATTTATCAAAGTTTAAAAGTTAGGTGCCTAAAAGTGAAAATTTTGCCTATTATGTATTGAAAAACACTGTCAAACTAGTATGCACTCCAAAATACCTTTTGTTTTTTAATGAGAGTTTTTAATTTGATTATGTCGTAGTTAGTTTTGTTTAGAATTGTATTTCCTAGTCCACTCATTTGACATGATCAAAAAGTAGCAGAGTGAAATGCTTACGATGATAATGATATGTCAAGAAGTTCAACTTAGTATTCTAGACTATCTTGACATATCATTATCATCCTAGTCCAAGCCTGTCTTTCTTTCACAAGGATTCAATTATGTTCTGAACTTATTGATAATTTCAGTGTCCCACAAAGGGATCAGGATGTTTTTCTGACTCCTTTTGGCCAATTACTTCTAGGTTGATATTGTGGACTTCAATGGCAGCTTTTTATCACGTGTGCGTGATCTTACTGGTGCAAATCCTATAATACTAGTTGTGACCAAGGTAATAATCTGCACTTAGGATGTTGTAAGATTTATAATAATATGACATATGCTATTGCAATAAAGCTGTAGGCTGTTGTAAGATTTATAATATTTTGACATATGCTATCGCCATAAAGCTGATTGTAATGTTTTTGCTTTTGTCTCTCAGATTGATCTCCTTCCAAAAGGGACTAATTTTAATTGTGTGGGCGATTGGGTTGTGGAGGCCACTACAAGGAAGAAGCTCAAGTAAGATGTGATTTCACTGGAAAATGTTATAGAAAATATAATTGATAATGTTGGATCCACTTAAGTTAAGGCTTAATTGAGATTTCACTCGTTTCAATATTTGATTCCTATAATCTTACTTGAAAGCTTGGGTTAGCATGTTTCTGATACAATGAGCTCTGCTTTGTAGTGTCTTGAGTGTGCACCTTACTAGCTCAAAGTCTTTAGTAGGGATTGCTGGAGTTGCATCAGAAATCCAAAAGGAGAAGAAGGTTAGCTACTTGTCCATACATTTCTCATCAATAAGATTTGCGACTGTTTGCTGATATGTTGTGCTTCAAATTAAATGCGTAAGAAAATGTGTTCAAATTTGGATCCTTGTGAACCAAATATGAAATAAATGTTAATGTGTACCTGTGATTAAGTCCTGAAGTTTTTTTATCAGCATTTGGTTTATAAAGTGGTTCCTCTGCATGAGTGTCATTAGTGGAAGCAATAGGCCTACAGAACTTCATTAGCTTCTACTCAGTAAATGTTCTGAGGACTTTTATCTGAACTTTTAACCATAGAAATACGCTTACCCTTTTTATTATCCGGTTTACTTTATATTTCCTTAGCTTAACTTCTTTACTTTGACTCCTTTGATGCAGGGGCGGGATGTATACATTCTGGTTAGTAAGTCCTGAACTGGAAGCTTATTGTAGATGTCCAGAGTGGGGTCCAAAAAATTTCTTTAGTTCGCTAAAATTACCTTGTCAAAAATCCTTCTTCCTTTATATCATCTCATCCCATGTTTTCTTCTCATTGCTTGTTTCTTTATTGCATTGATCATAATTGCAAAATGGATCCCTAACCACTCTTAGCTGTCATGCATGTACTCTGCTGCAAGTACACGTGTCCAGGGCAAAATGAAATAATATCTTTGATTTGCTTTTCATTTGTCTGGTCTAAGGTCCTTTATTTGTTTCAATCAAAGAGTTAGTTGTCGTTTGCTTTGATTTGGTCAAATTTTAAATTGTATTCGTTTTAAGTGGGTATTTATTTTCATTTGATCTTTCTTACAGGGATCAGCAAATGTGGGAAAATCTGCATTCATAAGTTCTTTACTAAGTAAGTCCATATAATTTATCTTGAGTTGTCAATGTGAATTTGTACCAGTCCCTTTTTTCCTCAATCTTATGTGATAATTTAAGTGCTTTATCAAGTTTTCATATACAATAATGGAGTACTAAAATGTCATACCATTTGGTCCATGAAACACCAGAAATGATGGCACAAAGGGATCCTGCAGCTGCAGCAGCGCAAAAGTACAAACCAATACAATCAGCTGTTCCTGGAACTACCTTGGGTCCAATTCAGATTAATGCTTTCCTTGGAGGAGGGGTATGCATAATTAGTTCATTGCCTGGATTTTATCCTATCTTCTTGGCACCATGTTTGCATTTTTTTTCACGAATTTATTCAGGCTGTTAGTTATTCACTTGATTAGTTCTAAACCAGATAAAATTAGTTTTTGCAGTACTTTCCAATTAGTTTTTATAATACCAACCAATCTTTCACGGTAATATCTTCATGCAGAAATTGTATGATACACCAGGGGTTCATCTTCACCATAGGCAAGCTGCAGTAGTTCACTCAGAAGATTTACCTGTGCTTGCTCCTCAAAGTCGGCTCATAGGTCAATCATTCCCTGTATGTTTCATTTGAAAACTCCTTGAAGCTTAAGCTGTTAAATTCAATATATGCTTTCTTCTTACTATGTTCCCCAAGGATTGCAGAGTGCCTCCAAAAATGGGATGGCAGGGAAATTCAACGCGAATGGCTTAAATGGATTCTCAATATTTTGGGGTGGTCTTGTCAGAATTGATATCTTGAAGGTCCCGATCATTTAGTTTCATGCGTATTCAGTTGTGAGATTCATTGTGATTGATCTGCATTTTATTCTAAATCTAAAAAATGTTAATTCTTGATGCTTTTAGGTTCTCCCAGAGACATGTTTGACATTTTATGGGCCAAAGAAGTTGCAGATTCATGCTGTACCCACTGACGAAGCAGATGAATTTTACAAGGTAATCAAGACAAGGCTTACCAATCATGAGTTATGCCTACTGCTTCCCTGTGGTACACTTTCCACTTAAACCAAATATGCTACTGTTACAAGATAGTTTGTGGTAATCATTTTTTTTTCCTTAGATAACTGCATTAAGTGTTTGAACACTAATTGGAGTTGCAAATTCTCTCGTAAGCTGTAACATGAAAATGGCCATCTTGAACTTGAAGGCTAATTAGTTTTATCTGAGGCATCAATCCAATAAAGTTTCATCTGAACAACTTTTTATGAGGCATCTGTTACTGTTATAAGTGGATGATTTACCCAATTGCTGCAGAAAGAACTTGGAGTTCTGTTGACACCACCAACTGGAAAAGACAGAGCAGATGAATGGAGAGGACTGGAGACAGTGCAGCAATTGCAATTAAACTTCGAGGACGCAGAAAGGTGCAATTCTAGTTTATATTTCATGGTTATAGTGCTTTTGGCATATCGAATTGAGATGCTGTTAAAAACTTTTTGTGTTTTTGTTATGCCTACAAGGAATTATTGTTGATTTTCACCTCTTTCAGAATCCTTGTTTTAATTTACTTTTGGAAAATAAATGCTACCGCTGTTTATTTGAAATGTCTCAAATTTCTTGCTTGGACAGACCTGCTAGTGATGTGGCTATTTCAGGCCTGGGTTGGATCACCATTGAAGCGAGACGCAAGTCTCTTGGAATTTCTGATAATTTGGTAGAAACCATCAAAGAATTGCATTTGGCCGTACATGTACCCAGGCCAGTTGAGATTTTTGTTCGGCCTTCAATACCCGTCGGCAAGGCTGGAGCAGAATGGTACCAATATCGTGAGTTAACAGAGAAGGAAGAAGAAATAAGACCGAAGTGGTACTTTTGAGGGCATATTGTTTCTTGATACCGTGTTCCATTTTTTTGCATGGTTGTAAAGTTAAGAAAGGTACACGCTGTACACCCATAGTGAAGAAAAACTGAGAATTTGGACAGTTGAAGTGTAGAAGTGACAGGTGGTGAGCTTGTTCCAGAAATTTTGTTTGTAGAAGATGCGACAGAAGGTTGGAGACTGGCAGTAAATTTGGGGTTAATATGAGTAAGTAGAACATTTTTCTTTGCAAAAACTGTTCTACTCTTTAACTCTGTTTTCTCTGATATAGGCAAACAAGCATTTCTCCTTTAAGATCTGCACATCTTTTTAAAGTTTAAGCTATTCTCTTGCAAAACCATCAACATTTCAACCAAGCATATTAGAAGTAAGATTTAAGATTTTGTTGAAATGCTAAATTTTATGATTTTACAAGTTGTAACAATGCTTTTGCCTTTTAGGTTTTCATAATTATCTTAACAAAAAAAATTGAATGTTTTACTTATTTTAATTGCCTAAAAAAAAACCATTTTGTAAAACAATTTGGCTTATCTAACACATATTATGTACGATATTAATAATATCTATTTAATTTATTCATACAACTATTTTTAAAAGATGATATTTAGTAAGTTAGAAATTCAAATATTAACTTTGCAACTCAATTGTCTATTTGGACTTTCTTGTACAAAAAAAATTATATAAATGAATGGAAATTTTCAAAAAATAAGGAAAGTAGAGTGTAATTTATCAATGATTGAATGGGTTGTATTATAATAACAAGTAAATTGTAAAGAGGGAAACGAACGGACTAAGCGAGGAGTTCGTTGGCCATACATGGTGAAGGGGGATGGGTTCAGCCTCTTTACATGACCCATGGCCCCAGTGTGTCACTTGGTTAGCATTACTCGGAACCAAAACCTAATAATAACTAGGCAGACTCAGCGTTTAGGGCTTCTAGCTGGGCCATTGTTTGAGGTCGAAGTATTGACTAAGCGGCCCATGATCTCCCCCTAGTCCGCAATTTTTCCTTCGAAAACACTTCGCACATCCATTCCCGCTCTTGGGATTTTTTTTTCTCTTCACCGCCAAACAGTAGCGTCTCTCAAACGCTCAAATTTTCAGAATTTCAAAAAAACCTCAAAACCTCTGAAATTCTTACATTTCTCCCTCCACGGTTTCGATCTCCGACACCGTTCCTGTTCTCCGAGATGGCGGTTCCAAACTCAGAAAACCTTCGTTTTAAGTCACTTACTCGCTTTTCCCTCTAAATTGATAGCTTTCGATCTCCTGCTCAACGACTCAAGAACTCCGAAAAGCAAATTCTATTTGGCAACCAAGGTAAAGCTAATTGCACTCTTTACAGTTGTTTTCGCCATAATTTAATGTGATTTCTCTCCATTCCTAGGATTTTCTCTGATTCCGTAAGGTTCGTTCTGTCACATTCTAGGGTTTTCCATCTTTGAGTTGTGCTGTTAAGACGCAATGTACATCAAGGAAATATGTTTGGAAGGGTTCAAATCCTACGCTACCAGAACGGTCGTCCCTGGTTTCGATCCCTTCTTCAATGCCATAACGGGTTTAAACGGGTCGGGCAAATCGAACATTTTGGACTCGATTTGCTTTGTTTTAGGAATCACCAATTTGCAGCAAGTTCGCGCTGCCAATCTTCAAGAGCTCGTTTACAAGCAAGGCCAAGCCGGAATTACCAAGGCCACCGTGTCCATTATCTTCGATAACTCGGATAGATCCCGGAGTCCACTCGGTTATGAGGATCACTCAGAGATTACTGTAACTCGACAAGTGGGTGATAAGTAATTGTCTTTTTGGTTTCCTTTATCTCAGTTATGATTCTCTTTCAATTTGAATTATTCTTTCAAAGTGTAACATTTCTTTAGTTTTAATTTGTATGCTTTCTTGGAACTATATCTTTCTAAATTGAAAATGTATATGAAACCTCTGCAGATTGTGGTTGGTGGAAGGAACAAATATTTGATTAATGGAAAACTCGCGCAGCCGAGTCAAGTACAGAACCTTTTCCATTCGGTTCAACTTAATGTTAATAATCCACATTTTCTCATAATGCAAGGTCGGATCACCAAGGTTTTAAATATGAAACCTCCCGAGATTTTATCTATGCTTGAAGAGGCTGCTGGGACAAGAATGTACGAAACAAAGAAACAGTTTGCATTGAAAACGCTCGAGAAGAAACAGAGTAAGGTAGATGAGATAAATAAGCTCCTTCATCAGGAAATACTGCCTGCTTTGGAGAAGTTAAGAAAAGAACGAACCCAATATATGCAATGGGCTAATGGGAATGCTGAGCTGGATAGACTTAAAAGGTTTTGTGTTGCTTATGAGTATGTTCAAGCAGAGAGGATTAGGGATAGTGCGGTTGGTGAAGTGGAAAGAGTAAAGGCAAAGATTACCGAAATTGATAATGATGCTGAAAGGACGAGGGTGGAAATTCAGGATATGGAGGCAAATGTATTGAAGTTGACTGCTGAAAAGGAAGCTACTATGGGTGGGGAAGTTAAAACCTTGTCAGATGAAGTAGATTCACTATCTAAAAATCTTGTGCAGGAAGCGTCTGTGCTGAATAGTAAAGAGGATACTCTCAAGGGTGAGAAAGAGAATGCAGAAAAGGTTATTGATTTATGGCCCCAAGCTTTGCCGTTTCTTTAGAATCAGCTCAAGCATTTTATTTATGTAACATAGAGAAAATCTGTTTATCTTCTGTTCAATTTGTTTCATCTTTATCCTCCTCTGCTTTCTAGTGTTTTGCTCTCCCTATTTTCAGTTTTCATGTAAAAGATTTGGATTTCACATTTGATGTTCCAGATCATTCACAATATTGAAGATTTGAGGCAGTCTATAGAAGATAAGGCCATTGCAGTGCAAAAATCTGAAGAAGGAGCAGCTGACCTGAAGAAGAGAGTTGAGGATCTTTCTAAGAGTTTGGAAGAACATGAAAGGGAACACCAGGTAAAGACCTGCATGTGCAATTTTTGTTAATCATAAACATTTTATTTCTTGCATTCATTTGTAAACCAAGTGTTTTGAGGAAGTTTCTGTGATTAACATGGCAGGCTGTCCTAGCTGGCAAGAGCAGTGACAATGAAGAGAAATGCCTAGAGGATCAACTAGGTGATGCCAAAGTTGCTGTTGGAGCTGCTGAAACAGAATTGAAACAGCTGAAAACAAAAATTAGCCATTGCGAAAAGGAGCTGGGAGAAAAAACACGTCAATTAATGTCAAAGCGTGTAGAGGCTGTTGATGTGGAGAATGAGCTTAATTCTAGGACAAAAGGTGTGGAAAAAGTTAAAATTGAGTTGGAATCCCTTCCATGCAAAGAAGGCCAGATGGAAGCATTGCAAAAGGTTCCAGTGCTCTCCCTCCTATGTTTCTTGTCCAGTGTGGACTGTATGGATTTTCTTTTGGCTAAATCATTTTTAACTGAAAAACTTTTCTAGGACCGTGCATCTGAGTTGGAGCTTATCCAGAAGTTGAAAGATGGAGTACGGGATCTTTTAGCACAGATAGCAAATGTTCAGTTCACTTATTGTGATCCTGTGAAAAATTTTGATCGGTCAAAGGTGAAAGGAGTGGTTGCAAAACTAATAAAAGTGAAGGATAGCTCAACAATGACAGCCTTAGAGGTTGGCAATGTGTAAATGATATTATTTGTAGCCTTCCATCAAATTATATGGTAACCCTTTAATCAATTTGTAGGTTACTGCAGGTGGAAAGTTATTTAATGTGGTTGTCGACAGTGAAAATACTGGAAAACAACTGCTTCAGAATGGTGATCTACGAAGAAGAGTAACAATTATACCTTTAAACAAAATTCAACCTAATACTGTTCCCCCTAGGGTTCAGCAGGCTGCTATTAGATTGGTTAGTTGTTGCTTTTGCCTTCATTTATTTTTTAAAATCTATTATTATTATTATTGTTGTTGTTGTTATTGTTGTTGAATCTCTGTCCCTTTCTGTGCTTGATTTCATCATTATATTTGTAGGTTGGCAAGGAGAATGCAAAGCTGGCACTTTCTTTGGTTGGTTATGATAAGGAATTGGAGGTATGCTTTCATGAAGCTATTTTATTATCTCAAACCTCGCTGCATGATGCCTATTGACAATTTCGGGTGTATGCCTTTTTTCTCTTTGTTTGTGGTGCTTACTGCTTAAAGTAATAGAAATTAGATGAATTGAGCTATATACATTTAACCTTATTAGGCAGTCGAAAGCAAATATTGGTAATTTTTATTTATTTTTTTGATGGTGTCTGTTTCTAAAAGTTTGGAATGATATTGCAGAGTGCTATGGAATATGTATTTGGTGCTACTTTTGTTTGTAAAACTACTGATGCTGCAAAGGAGGTATGTTCATCTGAATCTATTCAGCTGTGTTCTTTGAACAATGTGAAACACTTCACTATTCTCTTCTTTTGTTCTTGTTTTGGCCACAGCTCATGTAAAAAATTTGCCTTTATCCCATGTCACCTCCAAACTGCATGTACTGTATATTCATTTGTTGTTTCTAATCGTTCAACTCAACAAATGTTTTGTAGGTTGCTTTTAATCGGGAAATTTGCACTCATAGTGTCACCCTTGAAGGTGATATATTTCAACCTAGTGGTCTTTTGACTGGTGGAAGCCGCAGGTAAATCACTAGGCCATTAGCATTACACGGCTGTTGGTTCTCATAGAATGTATATGTTTTATCCTTTCTTCCCTCTTCTTCTTGGAACTTGAGGTTTTATTTTGTTTTTGGAGAGGAGCAATTAAATTTGACAAAGTGATTATTTTTCTCCTTATAACTTCTATCTTTCTCAACCAAATTGTTTCCAAGTTGTTTTTTAGAGATGTTTGAAAATTGATAACTTTATCACCAGGGGTGGTGGTGATGTGCTAAGGCAGCTTCATGACTTGGCAGAGGCTGAATCAAAACTTGCAGAACATCAGAAGAGGTTATCTGAAATTGAAGTGAAGGTAATTCTCTAGCAGCCTCTTCTCTTTCCCGAATATGAATGTAAGGGCTAAATGAGAAAATTTTGCCATTTGAATGAAATATATATATTGTTTATTGGGTACATTAATGGTGCTTTTATGTGTCTGTCAGTTCCATTTATGAGTTATCTAAATTGTTCTTGATGTATGGATATAGTAACTTCTTTCTTAGTTAAATCTGATTTTAATTTTAATAAGAAAATAATTCATTTTTCATTTTGCATTATTTTGTGAATAGCCAGTTGATGAATAATTCAATTATTTGATTGAATCTAAGATAAAAATAGTTGGTTTACATTCTGTAAGATATAAATGTATATGTGATACATGCTAGATATTTACTAGTTATACATGAACTAAAATTATCTAATCCAATCCTCCAAACAGGAAATCTGTTTTATAAACTCTTTTTGTCATCCTATCAAATGGCTTTTTTGTGATATCTTCATATAACAACTTTTGTAGATAAAGAATTGTATGAAACAATATTTCACTTCAGCATATATGACTTCTATGCAAATTTTGACAGTAATTGTTCTTTAGCAAACAGCTTATATTTTAAACATCATTAATTGACCCTTGTTAAAGAATATTTCTCCAT